GCCTGTCTTTGAAGTGAAACGCGGCTAGGAAAGAAGGAAGGAAAAATAAAAGTAGGGAGATGTGCTTTAGGGGGCCTTGGCTGGGACCCCTCTGTCTCCTCCATGCCAGGAAGTGAGCTGTCACGCTGCCCCCACCTTGCGAGTGCAACTCGCAGCCACACAACACCCAGGGAGCCAGCCTGTGCCCATCGGGTGTTTTCTGTGTCACAGCAGGGCTGAAGAGGCCCCCATTCCAGCTGCAGAGCACGTCTGGGCCAGGAACTCCACCTTTGAAACGAAATTTGCCTACATCTAGCTGCTTCTTGCACTAATCATTTCTAGGTTGTGTTATGGTCCTCTTACACTGCTGCCATGTGTGTAGGTGAGCCAAGGTGTTCCCTATCTCCTGTCTCATCCCTACCTGAACATTTCTATAGTTCGGCATCTGCTCCGGTTCTTCCTGTGGCACCTTTCCCTTATGATCTCTAGGAACAAAAATGAGGTGTGCTGAGTGGTTAGGTCTGCTGTTCTGCAGACCCAGGGGGCAGTGTTCAGGGTCTGGCAGCAGAACAAGAGCTCGGTGCTGCTGGCTCAGGGTGTTTGGGTTAGGGGCATGCCTGGTCCTTCCACAAGAGGGGATGTGGTATGACAGCCTCCTAACCTCAGTGAAAGAGTTCTTCAGTGAAAGGCGGCTGGGACCCTGCAAACAGCTACCACTGCTCTCACCCATTCCCTAAGCCAACGACAGGACCTCGCCGGGGTAAAGCAGAGGGGTGCAGCACCATGCTGGACTCTCAGGGTGAGCACCCAGGCTTACAGTGACATCTCCTGCCTGTGGTCAGCACGCTGCAGCTCTCCCTTCCTCTGGGACCTTTGCCAAGTGCAGGGGTCCTTTGCACGACTTGGAGCTGTTTAAAAGGCATGTGTAGTACAGGAGAGTGGAATACACTCCTCTGCACCAAGATGAAGGCACCTCACAGTACCTGGCCATGGGAGAGGAGGAAAATTTGGTCAGGAAAAGCTCAGCAAGATGCTTTTGGTGCTTTCAACTAGAAGGCCTGATAGAAGACACCATGTTTTCTTTTGCTTGCTTCTCTTCTGTGAGCAATCCACCGAATGCAAACAGGATGGAAATCAGAGTTTTATTCCTCTTGCAAAGCACTGTCTGTAAACCATAGGCTGTGTCACTGATATCAATTGCTTTGGAAACAGAATAAGAGAAATTATCTGAATGTTCATCAGTTCACAGATACTTACGAAAAATTCTTACTATGGAAGAGTTCAGAAAAATGATAGTGAAGTGGTGTTCATATGAATTCAATTATCACACATTTAAAGAGTCTCCACAAAAGTACAAAGCACATGCGTAAGTATAAAATTGTTTACATGACTGGCAGCTAATCTCCCCCTATTTTAAAAAAAAAAGTAATCGTGCTCATGTTTTCATCACTTCTCTTTCCCCATTACATAAATCAGAAACTCTCTTTTTGGCAATTCTTGTGCTCTGATGCTGCACACTTTTCTGGACACTTTCTCTGGAGGTAAATTACGTGCTCTCAGAGTAAGAGCTGTCAGATCACCACACCTCCAACAGTCTTTCACTTCCTCACCGGAAAGTAGATTTTGGGTTTTCCCTCCTTTTCCAGACCTTAAAGAACTCCCTTTATCAAAGAATGAATGTAAATCTTTTCCATCCTTCAACAGATCAGAACAATAGTTTATCTTTTATGTGTGTGTGTACATCCATAGGCAGAAGAAATTAGACATTACAATCTGATCTGTAATGTCATACATTTTTCATACAAAGGAGCAGGGCTCTAGAAGATTATACTTAATATGTGAGGGAATATATTCTTCTTATTCAAATCACCTTCTAGACTCTCTGCTTGTGAGTCTACTTTCTCATTCACATGTTCATATGAAGACAGAGATGAGACACACACGAATATGTGGCCTGCAGGTGAATCCTGGACTAAACAAAAAAAAATAGCAGCCGAGAAAAATAGGAAGTACTACAATTATCTGAGGTACACAGACTCAAGGTCAGGCCTACTCAACCTCCCTGGAAAGTACAGGTACAAATATCTAAGGAATTGCAGCATGTGTGAATAGTATGCCTTGAACAAACTCAAAATACACCTTGATTCTAAGCAGAAAATCAAGAGATGGAAAAGCATTGAGAAATCATAATTGAACCTAATATTATTTTACAAGAAGGAAAGGTAATCAGTAACTCAGGCACAAAAGATCTTTTTCTAGTGTCCAGAAACTCTTCTTTCTTACTATATCTTAAGTCATAGTGGTCTGCTCTAAACAAAAAAAAGAAAAACCTAACCAGACTCTGTAAACACATAGGCATTCATGAACTCCCCAAACACCAGAGTCTTCATAAAGAATCTACCCAAAGCAAAGCTAAAAAAATATTCAAATATCAATAAAATTTTTATGCGGCTGAACTGAAAAAAATACTCCTATTCAGAACATTAGCAATGAAAGTAAAATAGACCTAGCTCCTTATTTATTATTCTGCTTTTTCAAATCCTTGAAAAAATGTTTACAAAGTTCAATCATCTTAAATTCATATGTAAAAACAGACAATGCCTCCCATGAGCATGCCTTAAAAAAGGACATTCCAAAAGGAAAATGAACAGTGCCATGTGTAAGTAGTATAATCACAAGTATGCCCCACAAGACACTTCTTTCATTCTCTGGAAAGGGACATGAGATTCTTTGCTTCAAAGACAATCTACCATTTTTTACAGTTACAATATAATCACTGCCTAATAATTTTTGATTATTGACTCAGTTTCCTATTTCCAGTATGAAAGCGGTGAGAGTTTCTTTATTACAGTTAAGACAACATAAAAGACTGTACAACATGCCTTACAATGATCCCTGAAGCATTTGCTAGACTGTATTTATTATCCACAAGATGACAGGCAAAACCAACTTTGTGCTCCGCACTGAACTAATTTTTCAGAGGATGCTACTTGTCAGGGAGAAAAATAGGCATTTAAGTCCAAGTCCTTGGCTTTTTTCTTTACAAACAATATGGATATAACATACCCTCATTCAGGATGAATATGGGCATAGATATTGATATTCAGGATATAGAAGTAACTTTCATAACATGCATTCATAAATCTTGGTTTTTTGAAAAAAATACCCAAACTTATTGCTAGCATTTACATACTCATTTTATTCTGCAACAGTCTAAAAATTTACACAATCACTATCCCAATCAGGAAATTAGGTCCGAAAGGCAGTGATCATCCATTTATTGGGGACATGTCTCTTCACACTATTCAAAACTCCACAGTTAAGATTTTCCAAACTATCAAAATATATAAGGTTTGAAAAAGTCAAGGAGACACAACATCTGGATTTGCCCCCAGCTGTGGAAACAGACAAACTGATCATGTAACTCTTAAAGGATGGCATGTGAAACCTTAAACAATCATGAGAACATAAGCAGTAAAACACTTTGTTAAGTCTCATTTTCCCTAGAGCTTCTGTGCTTAAGGCATATCTTGCATTTTTACAATACCATTTAGCTAGAAAACCCCCAGAGCTAATAAAGCCAATTTTCAGAATTAATTTAGTAGATAAACTGAGATCATTCCATCCACCATGAAAAATACATTCATGATTACAAAATAACTGGACAAATGGAGATGAAAATTATACACCTACTCTTAAATGATAGTTTTTATATAAATTAAATTGCTTGCATAGGTAATGCAATTCCAAGACATAAGACACAGAAGTCAAAGCAGCCCCGCCAGAAGAATTATTTCAGCTGGATCCTTTTCATCTTAGATACCAACACAATTAAACTTATTTAAATTTCTTTTTTTGGCAAGTTTTGCATCAAGATCATTATTTGCTTTTTAATTTTCTGCAGAAAAAGCTTCAAAAATACATACTTTAATTTTTTTCAGTGCTAGTCAAAAAGTAAGAAGTATTTGCACATCAAGTTTTAGATGAAGACGCCTAATATGACAGAGCAACACCTATCTTTTATTGCTTATTGAAGAAGATAACTACCAGGTATAAATAGGCTTGTGTAGTACAATCTTCTTTCAAAATGGAAATTACCTAACTTTTACGCAGACCTTTCCTGGGGCTATGCACGTGCATTTGTTAAGCACTAACTCAGCAGAGAGGAAAATATGCCAGCTGCCAAGACACAAATACCATTTCATACAGCACCTGCTGCAAAGTGTTCTCCAGAACACTGCTGAGTCAGTGACCTAATGCAATTCTGCAGAATTGAGGAAATACCACAGGATGACAGAGTAAAGAGCTTTTCCTTTTCTCTGAGTATGTAATCAAACATTACCTCTATCAATAAAATTCTGAGGTATCTTACTAGCTTTTTTTACAAAGACACGTACTCATGAACTCATGGGCACTACTTTTGAGTGGCAATTAGGAAACTTGTGAAAAGGAATTAATCAAATTCAAAATCATTACTGTAACTGCATTTAGAAAAAAAAGAAATGAGCAAGTAATTGTGTATCTTCAACAGCAGCTTTAAGAAACAAGAGACGATTTACCTTTCCTGAAGCTTGAAACCCTCAGATTTACTATTGAAAATACAGAAATACTATCAATTTCAAACCACAAATCTCCAGCTCTTCCTAAGCAGTCAGAAGAGTATTGATTCCATCTAGTGGCTAAACAGAGCTACAGACACTTAGAGAGCTTTCATGTTTCTTACCTATTGTAACTTGTGTCCCTGACAGGAAAAGTGATACCATCATCAAACACTGCACTGCACTTCACCTAATACAGAGAGTGGGACAGTACAGGGATGGTGAAAACTGTTCTAAACAAAACAAGACCTGTAAGATGTTTCTCATCAGAGCATTTTACTGACATACATCTTGCTAAATTGTGAAGCCAAGGCTCTTCCTTCAGAAGCTTCACACAACACTCAGATCAACAATGCAGATTCACTTGAGTTCTTACACCCACTAGGTGCTTTGTAAATATATAAAGTGAATGGCAAGACCTACCTGAAATTTGTGTTGTCATAGAAACAAGCAGTGAAAAATTCAAAGCTACCATGGAAATATTAATAGAGTAATTGGTGCCTGGTTGCAAATCTAAACAAACTTCAGGAGCTTGCTTGTGCGTGGAAAGTTCAAAGGTCATTTCATGAAAGAAGTTCTTCTGGTACCAACGCTGGCCTTGGATATGAAACTGTAACCAAACAATCACAGCATGAAAATTGAAATATTATAATACATTACTTGCATTCAGCCATCTCATGCTCTTAATTAGAAGAAACAGCAGAGGAGAGCACTGCATATGATGTGTCAAAACTGTTGGCATTGACAGTTACTCAAATTCCAGTGCTTCCAAAATTTGATCCATCTTGATCAGATCTGATATTTTCCTGGTTCTTTCACTTCTTCTCCTAGTCAATTATCTTTTTTATTAATTTCTGCTAGACCGTATTTCCTGCTACCATATTGGCTTCCAGTAACAGTTCACTTTCATTGAAGTCTACCCTCTTGCTGAATTATAAAAGTAAGCTCACATGAACACATCTCTAGTTTCACCCTGAGGATCAAGACAAAATCAAGTTATTTTGATGCATGTCAAAATGCCAACCACACTCTGGGATCTGTCTACAGACACTGTATTTCCAGGGAAATTTACAGCATCATACGTTCTTTTTTTTGTTTCAGTAGGTGTTTGTGTTTTATTGTTGATGACTGAAATGATCATAAAGTCCCTAATTTAAGGTCTCTCCTGATCAAATTATTTCTCTGTTAATGAAAACTAAAATGCTTGCTGGATATTAATTGCACATTAATTTTCCTTTAAATAGATCCTATGCCTTCAGATACTTTCTTAGTGCCTCATGGCACAGGGAAACTTGAGACAACAGCAGGTGGTCAAGAGTCCTGGCAGAAGTATTCATGCAGAAATTCCCCACTGGGATAAGGGCAAACTGAAGGCATACCACAAGGCAAAGAGAACTGACTCAGTGGAACTGGAATAGAGTTGTGTGAATTGTTTGCCTGAACATGGCAAACTTGAAACTACAGATAAGGAGAGAAAATTAAGAGTTAAGTATGGGAAAAATAAGCAAGAAACAGGGGACTACAAGAAAGCATGGTCTTTCTTTGGCTGCTATACAAGATTATTCATTAGGGTTTTATGAAATATTATTATAATGAGGAACATTGCTAGCAGTGAGCATTTGAAAAATTAGGTTTTTGATTGATAAAAATTGCTTTCTAGATTCAAAATATAGTTTGTCACTTACTGAGTATCTGTCTTCCATGTCAGTTCCCCTGACATTTCTCCTCCATTTCAAGCAAGTATCATTAAAAATTAATACATTATTGAAAGCTTCCTTTACTGTAGAGACAATTAAAAAAGAGATCAACTTATTTTAAAAATTTTACCTCTTTCAACTTAATTGAATATGAGTAGCCGAGAATAATTTTTTTTAAAAAGTTTTAAATTTCATTCTCTTCTGAGACAGAAAAGTAGGTTATCATTTCTTTTTGAATGAACAAAGAAGGTAAGTAAAGCATGATCATTTTCCAGAGAAATCAGCTTTCAGAAAAACCCAAGCATGCTATTCAGGAAATCCAATACACAATTTACTTGTCCAGGCCTAGAAAGTTATAGCGACAGAAAGATCAAGGGTTCAGGCCTCCTGATGTAAATAAAATAATCACAGAACAATTTGTCATAATTGATGCCCTCCAGGAAAAAGCATGTGAGTAAACGCGGTTTCATGGATTCCAAAAGCAATTATTTCTCAAGGTCTGTCTCACTAGAAATATTATGTCAGAAGGTAAGCCTAAAGTTTCCATGACTAAAATACTACAGAAATCCACTGTTAGAACATTATTTCTGTAAAATTACAGATAACTGTTAAGTACTGTTAAACATTGGAGCATTGTCTGTAATGCTCATACCACTTACGTAAGTATCACATAGCCAGTCAACAGGGACTTCTCCTAAAGGCAGAGAATCATATTTCAATGCAAAAAATGGAAACTAGTAAGCACTGTACCATGGACCAAAATTCTGTACCAAGCCTGCCTCAGCCAGAAGGCAAGTCCTGAAAAAGCAAATTTGCCATATCTTTCTGAACGGCCCTTACTACCACTGCTATCCTTGCTCATAGAGTCAATGCCAAGTGAGCAGAAAGAAAAACATCTTGCAGAAAAAGAGGATGCTGACAGTGGCTACAGGCACGTAGTTAGCATAAAGAATTATGAAGTCCAGGAAACAGCCCCTTTTCCTGTCTGCCAGATTCAAATCAGTGAACACTCTGCACCACACTGAGTTCTTTTATAAGCACATAGAATACAAAACACAACCTACCCTTTGTTTGAATTGCTAGTGTAACTGAGACAGTGATGTTTGTGGAAGAAATGGTAGTTATATTCACCATGTAGTTACTTCCAGAGTTCAGATCTAAACACACCCTTGGATTATCTTCACTTGTACTGATGTTAAATATCACATCTTCTGAGAATATCTTCTCATCCAATCTTTGGCCCAGTATATGAAACTATTGAAACAAAGACAATAGTGCAACTCGTTGTGGCTCTCCAATATTCACAATCCTATCTTATTTAATCCTACTGGTTCTTACAGGGAACGCAGGATTACATCTGGTTTAAAGTATCAGTTCAAGGAAAATATATAGGGTTTTGACTAGCCACAGGATGCCTTAATAAACTGGATCTTTATTTCTTCTGGCTGTTAAAATTATTAATATTTTTTCATGTATTTCTATAACAAGTAAAAGGAATCTATTACGGAATCTGATCCAATCTATTAGGAACCTGGCCTATTGTGTACCCTACAAAGATCTCCAACTCCAATAGTAAGGTGTAAGCAAATATTGTTTCTTGTTTACAGAACACAGATAGAAACTACATCTCCTTGTTACTTTTCTTCCCTTTTGCTAGCTTTTCCCCCTTGCCCCACAGAAGCAGTAGTAAGATGGAATGCCAAACAACAGTAAAAGACAAGCTTGTCTAAGATTGTCCCAGTGTAGTGGAAAAGAAATCTGTTACTTGTATGACATGAAGGGATAGATAAAGCTCACCTTCGCTGGATATTTTAGAGCGTCTTCCAGATGGCTGGATTCAGGAAAAGCGCGTGCACAGAGCACATTATGCCAGAGATCCACAGCTTGCCAGTTACCACTGGCTACATAAAAAACAGTTTTGACCTGTTAGGGGAACTGGGAAGCTGTGTTTTCTATCTCAGCAGTGCTCAACGAAAGTATACAAACTAAAAATACTTATAACACAGGAGGAGAAAGATGGGTTGTTTTCCAAAATTATTACCCAACCTTGCAATGTTTTCCACATTCATGTACCCACCCTGGACACCCTAAACAATTGCTTGTATTTTCTTCCTTACATGTACATACTAAAAAAAAGGAAAAAAACAAACCCAAACAACACACATACAAAAAAACCCTTCTTGGGATGTCATTGTGAAAACACGGGAACTCTTATCATGTTGTTTTGGCCTTCAATAACACTGACCAAACTATTTGTTTTGTTTCTGAGAATTTATGCCTTGATTTTTATTCTTATGCTCATATTAAAAAAAAACCCAACAAAACAAAAGGAAGTAGTTCAAAGGTTGTTTTCATTTTCCGAGAAAAACAGTTATAAAATGTTCAGATATATATTAGTTAAACCTTTTGAGCAAGGCACACTACTTCAACACACCTTGCATTTCTAAAACATGTTATATCCAGTGTCTGCAAGTGATACACAGTACAGTTGAGATACTTGTCAAAGACAGGGAGAGAGCCCAAGTTTTGCAATATGTTCTGTGGCAATGTGAGCTTGAGCTCTTCAGTGGAACTTCAATAAAACATAAACTTATGCTGTAACCTCCTACAGATTCAAGCAGGCATTTAGGTGATTTACTGGAATGAGACCCTGAAGTTTTAGGACAGGAATTTTCTTCTTTCCTAACCCAGCCAGTCACCTCTAGGTTTCTAGGTGTTCCGCTGAGAAGATCAAGACAAACTACCATACCAACAAAAGCCACAAAAAAGTATCCACTGATTCAGCAGATATAACCAGGACAAAGTCACTCCCAATCTCAAATACTTCCATTCTTACTTACTGTGTACGTTTCCTGCACTCCCAGTCTTCCAGTTTTCCTTTGCCACCTCACACATGTTTCATTGAATATGGACAAATTACTAAGTAATTCCTCCTCTGAGACCAAAAACACAGAAAGAAAATCATTACTTCTTATGCAGATCTTATGTTGGGAACAATTGCTTATTTCTTACTTTTCCTGTGGTTTGGTCTTGAGGAGTTTTTTTCGCTTTGCTTTGCTGTCCAAACAGGAAAAAAACAAGGAAGGTAAGTACATGTTAGGTAGAAAACTTTCTCTTAACTGTGTTGGCTTCTAAACTTAAAATAATAGGCTAACTGAAGAAGAACATTTTGAGCTAAAAACTGTGAACTCTTTAAACATACAGCCATACAGTACATAAACTGACACAAGGAGCTCTTAAGAAAGCTTCTGCTTTAGACTGAAAAAAAGTTTACTTTAGCTGAATTAATGTTTTGGTTCCTTATTTACTTGAGTTGCTTTTTAAAAGGTGTTGACATTTTTTCTTGCTGTAGAAGAAATAAAATTAAGTAACATAGCAGAACAATTTTCTAAACAAACACAATATGAAAACAATGGAGCCCACAGAACCAATCGCATAAGAAGTACAATTTTAGCAACCAGAGATACATCCCTCAACACACTTGTTAATTTACACACTTACAAGAGCAGGCTTTCTCACAGACAAAGCACAGGAAGGTCAGCTCACACATGCTTTTTTTCAGCTCTCTCACTGCAGTCATTAGACGCAGCTCAGTTGCTCTCACATGAAGAGATAACATTCTCATGTAATTGTGAACAAAGCTCCTTCTGGTCCCAGCTTAGATTGGCAGTGAACATACTTACTCCTTTCCTTCACCAGCCTCCTAATTCTCATTCCTTTGTCCTTCCACCATATTTTCTTATTACATTCACTACATGACTGAGTCATACAAACCCAACCTGATACAGATTCTAAGCTGAAAAACACTTACTAGCTGCTGAAAAATCGAAAGGTATTTATAGGACAGCATTGGTAGATACTTCAGGGAATATTCACGAAAGAGTTGGTGTATTGTTCTGCCGTAAAAGCAAGCATAGGTCAGGGCACTCTTTCTCTGCATATAAATTTCATTACGATCCCACAGGGGCCCCCTTGTAGCATGCGAGCATCTAGCTCTGACTAAAATAAATCAGTACATTTAGAGTTTCTAGAATTTCTAGCATTTCCTACTTAGGCAGCTATTTAGAACTACAGTTTAACTGTTAACATATTTTGCAGCACTTTTTCTTTCTTTTTCTTTGATTATAAGAACTGCCATAAAACTTTGTAACATTATCTCCCTCTCCATATATTCAGCAAATAGATGCCTCACTCACTAATCTCCCAACTAATTTTAACTCCTCCATTCCACATTCGTTGTATATGGAAATGCTGTTGAAAGCTTTCATGTTTCCAGGACAGAAGAGATTAATCTGCACGGCCTCTAAAACAAATTTCTTACAAGGATCTTTCTGATTAATTGTATCTAAGTGTTGCTTATTGTTACTGTTATCTTTTTCACAGTACTGTCCCAAAACTCTGCAGTCTAAGGCTTCTGTAAGAACACAAAGCAAAATGTTAAGTTCAGTTGTTGTATTCTTTAAATCAGACACAGTTTTATTAAAAGAGTGGATAGCAAGATAGAGGGAAAATGTTTCCATATCCACGAGAGCTGAATTAAAATGCATAACAAAGAGGTGGGGGGTACAAGAGAGGGAGGAATCTGCAAAGCTCCTTTGCAAGAAAATCTGCAACTTATGAGTTTATAAAATGCAGCTAAAAAAAATAAGGAAAACAAAGCCACAAACAACAAAAAGGATTGTGCTGGGTATTTAGGCAAAGAAATAAATCTTATACAATGGCCTTCTTGGAAGGAAGAAGGCAGAACTAGTAGCTTTTTTTTTTTCTGTAACTACATCCATTTTTTTGTTATGCTTTCTGAACTTTGAGGACAAGGCCACCGGGCAATAACCATAAATTCACAGAACAGCTGGCAGATCTTTTCTCAAAAGTTTCCACTTTAAATGGATGTGAGTGAAAGAGCATGAAAACCTGTACAGAGCAATTACCACAACAAAGTCTTCAGCTTTCTGAGGGGACTGCTTTTTCTCCTTTACTCCTACTGATCATACAATCTTTGTTTGGACAACCAAATATACAGAAAGGGCTTGGTTTAACATTAATCCCAGTAGCAAAAACATGGCATCCAATAACAGCAAAAAGGTTTGTCTGAAAAAAGTACTCTTCAACTAGAGGGAGACAGGTTCTTTGAAATGTTCATTCTGCTGTGAAATCTAACAGTGCCAGTGCCTTACAGAGCTTGGGAACTCAGTTTGTGAAATACACAGTAGCAGACAGCAGCATCCAAGTCTTAAATGTATCTGATTTTGATCAACTGATTGCACTCAAACTCATAAATAAAATGGGAGAAGCAAAGCCCCTTCATTTGCCTATATCTCAGCACTATAAATTTTAACTTGTGATTAACCAAGGAGAGTGAAGTTCATTGCTACCTCACTGATCTTCAGGTTACCTTCACAATCTTTTTCCCATCCCAAGAGAAAGTGTCCAAGAAAGAGCATGCAAATAAAAACTTGAAGACCAGAGGTGAAAGGTGAAAAAAAATCCTGGAGGAGTCAAATAGAGAAAGGCAGACTTGGGAGAGGATAGAGAAATGCAAATAGCACCTGGCTGTTGGCAGCCAGCAAAGACAGGTGCTGGTAACCACAACACAAATGGTAGAACACCAAAAAAAGCGCAAAGTGTTGCAACAGCATCAGTGAATGTTGGAGGGGGAAGAAATTATGTCAAGAAATTAAAAAATATCTACTTTTTTACCAGAAAGCAGATAGAATCAGCTCCACTCTTACATTTAAGTTCAGCAAGTAGCTAAAAGAGAATCCACACATACAAGTTCATTTACAGAGCTCTTGCCACCTATCCCCACACATACAAGCAATTTAGTGGAAAGAAAAAACCCAGGTATTAGATTTCTTTGTACATTTTTGGCTGTTACTTCTGTAAGTGGTGAACAATGTTGCAAATGCCATCTGCTACTAATACGGACATTTTTGCAATGAAATAAATTAAAATATCTCAAAGACAGGTGCCAAGAGAATGGTGCCAGACTTTTTTCAGTGGTGCCCAGAGAGAGAATGAGGAGCAACGGCCATAAATTAAAACACAAGAAGTTCCACCTCAACATGAGGAAGAACTTCTTTATACTGAGGGTGGCAGAGCACCGGAACAGGCTGCTCAGGGAAGCATGAAGATGTTCCAAACCCACTTGGACGTGTTCCTGTGTCACCCGTTCTAGGTGACCCTGACTTGACAGGGAGATTGGACTGGATGATATCCAGAAGTCATTCCAACATTAACTGTTCTGAGATTCGGGGAAATCAAGCACTTCTACTCCAGAGGGAAAGAAGTTCTGTGAGGGCCAGCTACACAGGATGTCCAGGATCACACACTGAGCACACCAGACAGCAGGTATTTTAATTGCTGGTCTGCTCTCTGCACTTCAATCACCTCATTTTAATGTATATAAATAAAAGGTTGCTAAAAACTGTAATCCATCTTACTATTGCCTTACCTTACTGTTGGCTTAATTCAATCAGCATCACAACTGAAATTAACTTTGTAAAGACATTTTTTGATACTTAAACTAGCCACTTAGAGAAGTACTTGTATACACACACACACACATATATATTTACCGTATATCCCAATAGACTGCACCAAACAATGCAAATAAAAGGAATCCATATAAATCACTTTTCAAGAAATGAAGAAATTTATTGTCAAAGAGAATTTCCTGTGGATGTTCTCTTAACTGCCTTATTTCTAATGGAATCTTTTGGGCAGGAAGAAAAGATAATTGTTTTTTCCAACATCTATCATAAATTATTTTGGAATGGAGCATAACTTTCTCTCATTTTAATGGGCTTTACTGATAAATTATACACACACCTCTAAGAGCATGTAAATCTCAAAGGCATCACTGCAAAAACAGGAATTTCATTTAATTTTAAAGCAATTTATTATCTCTAGTGAATATGAAAAATGTAGAAGTCAACAAGATGCAAGATTTTGTAACAACTTTCTGTTGATGATTAACTTTTTTTAAAGGAGTCTGGACTAGTTAGGTTATTCCTGTAACACTTCCTTACCATTCTATTTGACCATAACTGACTTTTTTATCTGACTCTGATCCAGCAGCTAGAGCTGGACTCTGGCAAAGCTCTTGCTGAAATCCACAGTAATCCTTTGAGTGCAGTCTGCAGGTTCAGGCCCTTCACAGCTTCAGAGCGCTCAAGACAACTCTCAGCATTGCAAAGACTGACAGATCTGACTAACTTAGTCACTCTACACAACGTTGGTTTCAAAATCAATTCAAGTGAGGGAAGAGAGGCCTCATGCAGTAACTCCATGTGAAGTGCAGTGGCAGCAGTGACAGTCCTTCTGAAAACCACGAAGATGTTTCAAAGCTAAATGAACACTATCTTCTGCAAAAGACAGCACTGCTACTTAAGAACTAGAGATAGACAGTGGTAGACAATTCCTTTTTAGGACACAGAAGAACACTGAAGATCACAACAGTCAATAGTCTAAAATATTTGCTAGTTGTTGCTGTTAATAAAATGCCAGTATAAGAAAATAATTCTGGAACGAAATTCTGACAACTAGATCTAGGCTGGAAAGCCAATCATAAATTCTGCTTTGGTCATTACGAGAAAAGAACAAAAACCAAAACAAACAAGATGGGGGGAGAGATAAAGGGCTCCAAATTAAATTGTCACTACTTTCACTGGAGTGTACTCCACAGTAATAGATTCACAAGAAAATATTTTCAAACGTCTCCTGCTCCTCCAGTGACAATCCATGGGCTTAAGTTGAAGGCTCTCAGTGAGGCAATAAGACTTTAGTTGCATTAGTCTCTTTCTGTTTGATATAAAAGCAAGACAGCTATAGACAGATCTGTGGCATCTAGTAGAAGCTGCTCTATTGTTAACACTTTTCTGTGACCTTTCCATACAAAAGTGCCACCACATTCCCTAAACTAGAAGAGGATTTCTTGCTGTCATCCTGCCTCCTGCTCCTAACTTCAGAATAGGAATGACAAATCAATTAAATTGCAATTTGAACAACAACTTTGTATGGTAATACTTACCTTTGCATACATATGTAATATTCTCCCATGACTGATCTATTGTGCATTCTGAAAAATTCCTGTCTCCATTGAAATAATATCCTTCTTTACAGTGATAGTACACTCTGCTCCACAGAGTGGTGGAGTTGTCCCAGGTCATTGTCGTATGTGGAATGAGCAAAGGTTTGCCACAGTCTATTTCTGGAACAGAGAAAAACAGGCAAACAAAACCTTGAAATGAAAACAGGCAAGACATATAAAAATGTTACAGATGGAGGGATGAACTGTCCCAGCAAGTTACAATTCAATTTTTTCCAGTTGTTAGAGGTTTCTAGAAGTCAGGTCAGTTCATCAGAACCCAGAATTTTGTGGCTGGAGACTTTCTAGTGGAGTGGGGCATTTATCCTACAACATGACCCATAAAATTAAACAGTGTCATGATTAGAAATGGAGAGCAAGGATCATAAAGCAGATTTTTATTAATAAGTCTATTTTTCCTCAACACTCTCTTTTCCTTCACATGCTATTTATTCCTTTATTTTACCTACCATTAGTAGCAGCAGATATTAAAAAACAGGGTCCAAGGACTGTCATGAAAGAACAGCATCAAGAAGGTTATGTTCCTTTGTCAGTGGATTTAATTCAAGTTTTGAAAAAAAAAGCTGCTACACACAAGATGAATGAGCAATTCCGAGGGAAAATTTGATAGATTATGCAAGCCACTTTACAGATAATTACAAGCTGAGATAATGAACTAATAATATAATTAATTTGCTAAGGTTTTGGGCGCTGCATAATAAAAACAGGGAACAAAATTAATAAAAAGTGAACATCAAATAGACAGAATATTATTATTTAGGGTAAAATCTGCTTTTTAATTCACAATGAACATTATACCTCCATAAAAGATTCTACACCACTTCAGTTACAAGAAGCAAACACTGTAACAATTAAAATCTTACCCACATTAAAGGAGCAAACAAGTTCTTTTAAAATATTCAATAATTTTAAGTGATTCTGAAATTCTATTTTAAAAAAAGGAAAGCAAATAAGTAAAAACCAAAGCTTATAGAATCATGATCTGTACAGCCTTTAAAGGAAAATTTATACTTAGGTATTGCAATGGGCAATACATCCATCCATGACTACCTTCCTTTTCATACACCAATGAGTATGAATGTATCCACTATAAATCATCAGAATAAGCCTTGGAATAACTAATGCACATGCAAGCATGTCCTGAACTCATAGAAGGACAGTATGTGACAACACTCAAAAACTCCTGCTGTTCCAGCTACCTGCCCATGGCCATTCTATAAGCAGACTGAAATTCAGAAGCACATTCTTGTGCAACACTGCAAATCCTCTATTTAGACTCATGACAAAGAATAAAAATATTAAAGGTCATTCTAAAAGTAGGGAGTGGCTATAACATACACATGGAGCATTCAAAGAAATTACATTTGACTGCAATAAACTGAAAGCTTGACCCTTATGAACAAGATGGAAAGATATTGCTTACTCAACAAATGGAAAAGTGAAGCTGTGCAAATGAGAAAAACGACTAAAGAGTGTAACTATTCTAAGGTCTCCTAATTAAGAATATGAGCCCAGATTAAAAAAAAAAACAAAACAGGAGAGTTTTTTTTCTTTTAAATATACCTCTGTGTTTCATCTTATTGAGGAACTCTTTAGGCTAAATTCTTCCAAATCATGCACTCTAAGAGATTTGACTAAGACTGTAAAAACTGAACGCCCAAAGAGGATGACTGATACTTACTACAGTGACTTAAATGGTATCTATGGTAAATAAATCTGAAGGCAGACTTTATTTACCTTTGCACACCAAATCAGGGCCATCCCAGTGTCCTCTGGCATTGCAGACTGCAGTGCGATTGCCGCCTGCCATCAGGTAACCACGAGCACAGTCGTACGTAACCTCACTTCTGTAGGTGGTCCCGCTCACAGATGTTGGATGTGCATTCAAAACAGAGGGTGGAACCCCACAGTCCACACCTGAGGAGATGAAGGAAGAGGAAGACAGACCTGATAGTCATCCAGCAGGAGCAATGATAGCTGCACTCACAGAAGTATTTCTTTCATCTTTACCCTCTAACCCTCTTCTCCCTAGTAATAAAACACTTCCTCTACAATATTCCCACTACGACTGAGAGTGCTGTAGCTCCTCCAAACATCTGTTTCCAAGTAAAAGGACACTTTTCTGTCTTCTCTCAGAATAGCATGCTAAATCTATGAATCCTCCCTCAGTCTAGCTGCTAGTATACAGAAAAGTCCTGGTTTTCTTCTGAATCTTTAGACTCTCCTGCTCTTACAAACCTGATTGCATCAGATAAGGTGGCTCTATAACATTCGCAATGAGCATTACTCAAAGGAAGGCCAATGAGCAGAAACTCCCTTGAGAAAGGAAAACTTTAAAGAAGTTTAAAAACTGTAAAAATGCAAAACCATAGAAAAGGTTCAAACATACAGTACAAGAGTTTCCTGTAAAGGCAAGAGCCTATATAATGCTTAAAGAAGTCAAGTAGCATGCACACACACACACAAATAGGAAGAATTTGTAAAAAGTATATTTACTAGTATTAGAAAAGAAAAAAAAAAAGACTTGCTTGTTTCACAGGAAAGAGAAGTCCTATTTGAAAACCACGAAAAGAGTTTGCAATACAAGGAAGAAATAAGTTTGACATTTCAGACTTTTGGCTGCTTCTTGATGTGTCATGTATTTTACTTCAATTAACTGTAAGAGATGTGCTGAGAAAGTCTGACCTGACATACTGTTTGATTGTAGAAATTTAAAAAAGCACATGGAAAAAGCGATTTCTGAAAAACATTAACAAAAAAAAAAAAATCAACAACTTGCAAGAATTGCATTCCACAATCTTTCTCATGGGACCACTTGAGACTCTGGGCACTCTCTTTTTGTTTTCAAATTCATTGTATTTTATTTATGGTTTTTTTGGGGGAAGTGTTACTTGCATTGTTTTATAATTGTTTTATCTCTTCTTTCTTATGAATTTCTAGTGATAGTTCATATTTTGCTTTTCCCAGCCACACTGTTTTAGCACCCTTATTTTAATTTATTCACTTCCCATAAATGTTGCATTTCTATCCATTCTTGGAGAAGAAAAAAAAAAAAAAAAGAGAGAAAGAACTGGAAACCAAGAGGACTGTTGTCATTTCAGAGACAGAAAGAACTCTCTTCACTAAGTGACAATTTCCAGGATGAGAATTTTCCCCTGTAGAATTGCTATATACACAGTGTGTCTTCTGTTAGCTAACTAACACTAAATGACACTTCAAGTGTCATTTAACTAATAAAAAGGCTTTCTAACTACTCACGGGAACACAAAAAGAATCCTGCAGTCATAACCAGTAATATTATTAGAGAATGGATGATTAGAACACCAAAGCAAGTGAACATTTTAAAGACAGTCATAGAAAACTTAACTCTTCAGGATGTGGAAGTGTTTGTTCATGCACAAATGCTCTTAAAATTATGAAGACTACCCAGAAGATGAAGAGTGCTATGATGCCTCTTTTTTGCAACTACAGCAAACCTTCAGACAAAACTTCAAAAGGCGTCAGGAAAATTGATATTTTCACGAGAGGTCAGTGATGCCTTCCAACCCAGTAGCCTGTCCAGAGAAATGCTAAAGAAATTTAGTTGTTTTCTAGGCCTCAGCTCGCAGGCAGAAGGACACATTGCAGTGTCTGTAAAAATGTAGGGACCAGCATCAAAAATGTCACATAAAATGTCACTATACTTAAGGACAATAACATGTATTTTTATTTTCTTCTTTTTCTGCAATTAACATGATCTTGAAAAAACATATCCTTCAGATTGTGGAAACAGTCTATCTTCACAAACACACTTCCCATGCATGAACCCCCTTAATGAAGAATTTAAGAAAGATTTAAGACTCTTTTCACCTTTACAGCTTAAAGTAGGAGGTTCCCAAGTTTCATTTGCAGTGCAGTATGAGAACTTTCCTTCATTGCTGTAAAACCCTTCTTGACACTCATAATGAACTGCACTTCCTGGTAGCATGCTGTAGTTCCCCACAATGTAGCCATGCTTCATTTCAGGAGGGGAGCCACATCCGATTTCTGCAAAGAGACTGGGTTGGAAGATCTCACAATACATAAATCACAACACTTGAGCACTTCAAAATTAGCTGAACTAGATGGTCACATCACAAAATACACCTTATCTGATGAATCTGAAAGGTTGCCAAAGCGGTAGAATATTAGATTTGAAGAATTGTCCTGGCCACAGTTGGAGTAACACAGGGAAGCAGTTATTGAGCAACACCTTTACTAACATACAGCTGGAGCCATTCACCAAAGATGAGACACGGCAATGGGACAGTGCTTTGTGTGGGCGAGTCTCATTACAGCAATGGCTGAATGATACTTCAAAATCAGAGGAAAATTTCAGGCTCCAATGCACAGCTTTATTTCCCTGTGCTTGGGAGAAGTGAAGCACTTTGCAGCAGATAAATTGAAAAGAAATATTCTGCCCCTCAAATACTTCACTCTCATTGAAATAGCCCGCATATAAAAGCTCCACTCCTCCAGCACATCTGCTTGGACAGGGCTCCCTTGTGCAACTCTGCAGAAACACAATCGGTACAGACACTCCACCACAGAATATGGAGAGGCAAGTCAGTGAGATAAGAAGCAGGGTTATCAGCAATTCTGGCAAACAGAGCGGAGCACTCCAGTCAGAAAAACTGAGCAATTACAGGCTGCAAGCTTTACTGATGGTTCTGGCAATAATTCAGACATAAAAGCCGAATATAATTTAGGCAGCGCCCTCCACCTGGGACACCTGTGTTCATTATATACTCTGATATCCACAAGTTACACTGCTAGCAGTTTGCATCTGTGAAAACCGACACTAAAGACTTGCAAATTGGAAACTTGGTTTTGGTTACGGTTTCATTGTTATGCCAACATAAACAGAACCGTTTATTTATGCAGGAGGCGAAGCATGTAATAAATAGCTAAGTTGTTATTTTATTATTCCTCTCCCCTAGGCTTTTTTCATTCATCTATCCTCTCTTACTAGCTATTTAGTCTCTCTTCTCTTCCCCTTTATGTGGTGTGATTGTATAAACAACTGGATTACAACACACTTCCTTTCTACTCAGAAACTAACTACATTACTTTCAAAACATTATCAAGCTTCTCTGACTGCACATCTGTAGCACTGCTGAGAACGTGTAGGAATATCTGGTGTTGACTCTGGGATCCTGACATCACCAGAACAAACCAAATGCAAGAAAAAACATTATACAGCAAGCAAAGTCCAGAGAAAGGGTTTCTGCCCTGGAGAAGCACAGGCCAGAACAGGCACTACACTATGATGCAACATGTGATTTTATCTGCTAGCAAAATAGCATCCAAAGGCTCTTACCTTTGCACGAAACTGTGTTTCCATCTTGATGAAAAGAATGTTCTCCAGTTTCTAATTTATAGCCATCATTGCAGTAACACATGTAGCTTCCTTCAGTATTCACACATCTTGCATTGTGACCACACAACCCAGACTCCTCACATTCATCTATATCTAAAAATTCAGAGAAAAGTAGATGCACTACATAATAGGGCTTTTTGTTTTAATTAATTAATATACGGCCCAAGCTTAACTCTTCCATGAAGAGTTCTACATAGCTTCTCACAGCTCTTCTAGGAAAACAAAGGAGCTCATTATTGTCTCATCTTCAAGCATCTGGAAAGAAGACTGTTGCAATTTTGTAGCTAGCTATCTTCAGAATTACTGCTGGTTTACTTGACAAATAGTTTCCAAGGTTATATGCAGTTCAAACAATTCCAGAAAAATCCTGTATCTGGACATCTCTTGAACGGTTACAACAAGTCATCACTAACAAGGAACTGGCTAATATTCTACTCTAAACATAAAAATGACAACCTGGAGAATTTTAAGTATCATCCTATTTCATTACTATAGCTGCTGCTGCTTTTTCTGAAAAGATCATTGTTTGAATGAGACTGTGAAGCAATGATTTGTAACACAGCAGAGTTCAAAATGGAACTAATTCATAGCTGTTAGAAACCTGGATGTCAAACAAGTGTATGAAGAACAAAAAGTTCTTTAATATAGCATCAGAAAAGAAGTTCAACAGCGATGAGAAGAAAAAATTGTGCAGTAGCAAATTAAGTTCTGGATTTGTCATGTTCAGGATTCTTTGTGATGTTTACCTGTACAGTTCGTGCCATCATTGGGAATAAATGTCTTGTTGTTGTTGGAGGCTCGGTATCCATCAAGGCAAACACAGTAAAAACTTCCATGTGTATTGTGACACAGAGTATGATTTCCACAGATCTTGCTGGCTCCAATCTGGCACTCATCTTTATCTGTGAGTACATTTAAAAAACATCAGACAGAGATTAAGAAAAGGGAGGTATCCTTCCCTCCTCACTCATGCTCAAGTAACCAGACTTCTCCTTACTGATTTCCTTTATAAATTATTTGGGATGTAAATACTGCTGGTAAGCTGGAGAACAACAGAAATTGTTGTCCCTGGATGAAAATGTGAATAGTTTCGTGACACAGCTCAAGTTGATCAAAGAATCTAAGAGTTGCTGAAACCAGAGGGCCCTGCTCTCTCCTTCCACTCTTCCTTACGGTGTACACTGCAGAAGCTCATGGAACACCTGGGTGGGGGCAACCCCAAGCACAGCTGCAGTCTGGGTAGAGAATGGCTCAAGAGCAGTCCTGCTGAGAAGGATTTAGGGGTGCTGGTGAGTGAGAGGCTGGACATGACCTGGCCATGGGTACTCATAGCTCAGAAAGCCAAACGTGTCCTGTGCTGCATCCAAAGCAGCGCTGGCCAGCAGGGAAGGGAGGGGTGTGGGAGCCAAGACAGAGAGTACGGTGGATTTAATTAGCATAAGCAGTTTGATAACCAAGATGCCTTGGCAAGAACAAACTGAGCAAGAAGACTGGCAAGTTCAATTGAGGCGATGAAGAAAATTACAGGCTGGAGCACCTCTCCCACAAGGAAAGGCTGAAGGAGTTGGGGGTTGTTCAGACTAGAAAAGAGAAGCTCTGAGGAGATCTTATTATAGCCTTCCAGAACCTAAAGAGGACTTTCAAGAAAGCTGGAGACTGACTTTGGACAGCATCTTGTAGTTCTGCGACAAGTGGGAACTGCTTTAAACTGAAAGAGGACAGATTCAGATTTGGTATCATGAAGAGATTCGTCATTGTGACGGTAGTGAGGCACCGGAACAGGCTGCCCAGAAAAGTTGTGGATGCCTCAGTGCTCCATCCCTGAAAGTGTTCAAGGCCATCTTGGGTGGAGCTCTGAGTAATTTGGTCTGGTGGAAACTGTCCCTGGCCATGGCAAGGGGGTTGGAACTGTGTGAATTTTAAGGTCCCTTTCAACTTGAAGTATTCTATGATTCTATGTTTTTCCTACAACGAGACACCTGAACTCTGTGCAGGATCCAGCAGCTGCCAGTGCTTTGTGAAAGAAGGGTAAGAGATGGAGAGGAGGAGATCGTTGGTGAAGGACCATCACCTTTAAGCACTAGTAAGCTACTACAGACACTGAGACAAAGCATTTGACATTGTTCTTTGAATCACATATTGATTTGTCACACGAGATAGCCTTAGAAGGACACTATCAGCAATAGTCACAAAATGTTAAACAACAATTCTGAACATGTAGAAGCCTTTTGGTGAGGAAAAACAATGCAAATATATTCCATGGGAAATTCTGACCATAGAAATGGGAAATGACCAAGTTTTTAGCATGCTTCAAAGAATTCTTTGAAATTATTTGAGAAGGAGCATTTTATGAATTTACGGAGTTTATTTCCATTTTATAAACAGGCAGCCTACCTTGACAATGAGTTCTTCCATTGCCTACAAATCCATAATTACAGATACAAACACTTTTTCCTCCACTTTGCTGACATGTTGCATGAATGTGGCAAGTTGCACAGACATCGGGAATGGATCTGCCCACAATTGCTTTAAGGACAAAAAAACACAATTATCTTTAAGTACCTTACAAGTGGCATGGTAGGATAACCAGCACAGAATTCAAAGTGGAGATACAATCCAGATTAAAACACATTGGATAGACCACTAGCTAATTTGGAAATTTGTAGAAAAACCACAGCTATTGTATTAAAACACTAAAGATGAAAAATTAACAGAGAAAATTAAACAAATAATTATGCTGAGCATTTTTGTCCATCCTTCTCTTCTTTGACAACAATGAAAAGAGCTTTTCAGCAATCAGAAAGGTTTAGAAGTATATAGTATACAACTCTATCCAATATAATTCATCTTTTCTCCATATGCATTTTTTCTCTTTATTTCTGTTTCCTCTGTTTTGTTGTGGTTTTCTTCTATTATTTACACATAGACATTTGGGATACTTATCAACCTGTTTGTATCATGTGTCAATATGGTAAAAATCTTATTCATAAAAATGTTGTGAATGCTATCAGGAGTAACATTACTTACAGTAAAGTAATTCTAGAAATTAATTTTTATTAAAAATGCTTGAAAAGCACACAACCTAATTTACTATAATTTGATAGGGCTTTAAATATACATGAAATTAGAATAAAAATTAAATTTGTTCTCTTCTTTGTAGTCATACTTTCATGGCATTATGTTCACTTTCCTCCTTTTTTTGGATAAACTCTTTTTGTTATTACACATACCCTCACTTTCCAAATGATAAACGTCAGAATGGATAGATTTAATGTAGGCAAAGCATGCACATGCTAATGCCTTCTTACTTTTTAAAAGAACGAACTAACACTGCACAAGCTGCTGTCTCATGATGCTTGACACACAAGCATGGAATTTTTTACTTTTCTAAGATAGCTGAAATTGATAAGAACACTAACATCACTGTATATTTAGCATCTCTGACAAAATTTTGACTACTCTACAATATCTAAATACATAACCATAACTGGAAGGAGAAGGCAACTGAACACTAGTATTATTGTATGCATCAAATTTATCACTGTGATAAAACTGCCCTTCCACATGCACACAGTTTGTTTTATTCACAGTGCATTTACACACATAAGTGCCTTAAGGCTGTGGGAAGCATCATAGATTCCTACTCCTAATTATCCATGCTTTTATATACTTGCGTGTGTGTTTCTGATAAGAACGGAAAACAAAAACTGTCAGCTGCCACTGCAGCCAACATAGACCAGAAAATTAAATTTACAAACAGCCACGGAGAGAACTTTCTCACGATACCTCAATCTCCTGATAAGACATGGGAGTTTCCTCCTCAGATTGCTGCTTCGGGAGATAAAAAACATGTTTCCAACCCCCACCTCCCCTTACTTCTACAGCTGACATTTTATTACTTACTCGTCCTTCACAACACACAATTTATCATGCCAGCACTACAGTCACCTCACTGTTTTGGTCCTACCCATACGCTCCCTCAGGTGTGGCTCCTGCCATGCCAAGGCCCGACACGAGGTCGCCGTCAGCAGGTGTCGAGGAGACACCAGCCAGCGTAAAGGACAGCACCCACCACGGCCACCATCGCCACCGGCACCAGGCGATGCCTGGGCACCATACCAGCACGGGCTGCCCCCAGCACCACCACCAAGGGCTGTCCGGCCTCCACCGCCAGCGCTGGCCGTGGCGGCAGGGCCGGCGCCCGGCTCCAGCTGACAGTCCCGCCGCCCGGCCGCACTCACCCCGCCGCCGCCCCGCGCACCGCGGCAGCACCAGCAGCACCAGCAGCAGCAGGAGCGGCCCTGGGGCCCGCCGGCCCCCCGAGCTCATGGCCCCGTCGGTGCCTCACGGCCCCGGGCCCTCGGCATGGTCCCTAGGGGCGGAGGGATTGAGGGAGGGCAGAGCCCTGGGGCAGGGCAGAGCCCGCAGCCACGGGCGGAGGGTGGCTAGTGGGCGGCACGCCCTTATCGCCTCCGCCGCGCCCTCGGCTCCCCCCGGGGCTTTCACCCTCAGCAAGGCTCCTTTCCTCCTCGGCCCCGCTGCCCGCAAACCTCTCTATTTTCTTCCCCCTTTCTTATTTTCCTTTTTTTTTTTTCCTTTTCCTCTCCTCTCTGGCACAACCCCTTTCCTTCCCCGGGACACCGCCTCTGCCCCGGCCAGGCAGGTGGCAAGGCTGATAAGGGCTGCTGCTGTCCATAGCCCCGGACGGCGGCAGAAACGGATGGTGGGATTATTTACGATTCCCAGGAAGGGCGGCTGGATGGACACACGCAGCTGTCACATCAGCCGTTCGGTGAAGGAAGCTGGTGCAGCCCTACACCGCTAGCCCTTAGTGTTTGAAATAAAGCTTTCTCACTGCAGGCCTTAGGCGCCGCTCAGGTGAATCCCCAAACCTCGGGTTTAGGCAGGACCAGTAGCGCTGCCTTAAGAGTTTGCTGCTGTAGAAGAGAAGTAATAGCCCTAGAGCTCATAGTCCTCATTTATGTCCATGAGCCTGCATTTTACAAAGCTGCATAAACTTTTCATCTACAAAAACAGTTGCCCAGTTACCACAACAGAGGAGTGCCAAGGTGAGGAATCGGGGAAGCCTAACACAAAGGTCGAATGAGGCATATTTGGGGACTCTAATAAGATTCCAGAAGTTTTGCTCGTGTGCTACGGTGGCTTTTCATTAATGTCCTTGAATGTTAACTCAGCCCAGTCCTCCATCACCACTGCAATTAAGTGGCATAACCTGATCATTTACTGCTGTATTATAACAAACACCGAACTATCGGTATCTGATTTCAAGGCACATAAAACCCAGTTTCACTGAATTATCAACTTCATTAATTTATTTACAAGTGGCTGTCTTACAGGTTTCAGGGTTTTGGTTTGTTGTTTTTGGGGAGTTTTTTGTTTGTTCTGGGTTTTATTTGCTTGGAAGTTTGTTTGGTTTTCATTTTTTAATTACTGTTCTGCCTACTTAACCATGTATATACTTTTAATCAGCTTCTGCTACACTTATTAATCTTGACCAGATTCTTCAACAGCAGCCAGTTACATACAAGTGATCCTACTTTTGGAAGAACACACTACAGATGTCATTACTGCATGTCTCTCCCTTAAAATGACTGAAATCAGAAGCATGCATTCTCAGTGGTGGTAAGTAGCTTATCATTATAAGGAATGGTTCAGAGAGCAATTGTTCTGCACAACATATTAAAATGATTTGGAAATTACAATTTTCTTTGGCAGCGTACTGTGTAGTAGACCTACTAATCACTGCAATTTCTATTCTTCCTTTCATAAAAACTAGCGGAAGCAACTTTTTATAATTATAAACACCTCATGCAGCAAACAGGAAAATATTTTTGGCACGAGGCCTGAAGAAATACATCATATTTATAAAGAGAATGAATTAAAAATTGTAATAGAAATATTCTTTAAAGAAAGCAACAAACGTGTATCAGCTGAAAAAAGTACAGGACCTTGACTGGAACTAACCTCCTTATTATGTTCCTGTCCATTGTGTCTCAGATAGACAAGTAATTGCTCTTTAAGACATACTTCAGAACCAAATAATTAAACTACACAAAGGCTACTTTAAATTCAATGCATGGACATAAGAAATAAGCGTCAAAAGATGTTGAGAGGTCATTTGTTCTGTTTTCTGCTCCACAACAAGGTCAACTATGATTCCTGACGTGCTTGTCTAACTTGCTTTTTATGCTGACAGTGGTGTAGAATTCACAGCATTCCCAAACAATCTCTTCCAGTACGTCAGGTCTGAATCCACCAGTGAGATTCATCACAGATCACTTCTGCCCTGAGGTCACCTGCCTAAGCCCTAGATAATTGGTACAGAAAGATAATTAAAGATTCAGGAGGGTAAGACAGACTAGTGTCCCAACATGCTGATCCTTAACATCTTGGGCAAATCTTGATTGTTTCACATAAAAATCTCTCTAATGAAAACACAGACTAATATCTACCTATAATTTCTGTTCCAGATATGATAAAAAAAATGATATTTTCCTTGTCAAACCTAAAGGAAGCCTTGTTTGTAATTACAGTATTTCCTTCATCCCTAACATTAAATTACCCAGAATATGTATGTACCGGTATTTGCTTCAATTTTTCTTCTTTGTGAAAAGAAAATAGTTGTGATGGTCAAAGTAAATTCATCCAGAGATGCTTGGAAGTTTCCTGTGCATTTTCAGCTTGCAAGTGTCTACATGCCGATAATTGAAAATCAGAAGGGCAAGCTGGATTAAACATCTCCTCAGCCACCTGTATTTTGTATTGCTCTCCTTTGCAGACAATGAATATCACCATGTCATCTAAATCTCTTTGGTTTTTTTCTCCTAAGGATTTTTGGCATAGGTTATACTGCTTATTTTGATACATGAAGACAAAATATTTGATACTAATAGCTCTTTCAGCAAACACATTTTTAAAAACACAACATACATCTTCAGCCTGAGTGAATAAATGTTATTTCATCCTTGTTAACAGATCACACAGCTATTCATAGTGCAATTGCATTCTCAAACAGCTTGCTATCAAGTACTTCTTTCCAACTGGCAATGAAAAGAGTAACTACAGCTTGATGGAAAATTCCTTGTATCTGAATTCTGTCTCTCTTGCCTATTTAAAATTAATCAAATTAACAACTTGTTTCTGGTTACCCATTTTGTACCCAGAATGAGACACCAATTGTTGAAAATAACTCAAAATTTCAGAAATAACTGAAAAAATTGGTGAACCCTCTTCAGTTTCTATTGAAAATGCTTCAGTAAATATTGTGCAGAAGTAAAGCAGTATCTTGTATGTTTTTTTTTTTAAAGGAAATATTATCACTCAAGTTGTTTGCAGCATTTGTGTCTGTACTCTCAGGGTGCCTATGCCACTGTCTCATCTCCTAGCAGATTAAGTCAAGATGAAAACGTAAATGAGATTTTCTGCAAAAAGCATTGGATACTTGAATTTGAACCTTAAATATTGAATGCTTCTATACAATTTGCCTAGAGAATAGGCCTTGGATGTAACATATGTCTGAGTATGCCCTGTACATCCCATAACAAGGGCAGAGTAGGTGATAAAGCCTGCTGACAGTTACTGCTAATCAGAAAAGCAGCTCTCCAGAGCAAAAGGGCTGCTATCTGTGGGTTTTAGCATAGGAGACCAAACTGGGCTTTGCCACAAACCCACTGGGAGCTTTGATAAGATAACCCCTCTCTGCCTCTCTTCACTCTCCCTCCCACTTAGATGTGTCACTGGGATAGTATTCCTACATAAGCGTGTATGGTGCAACACAACCTCTGGTAGAAGCTTTCATGCCACAGCAGTCTGCCCCAGTTCTTAGACCTTTTTAAGCCACAAGGACTTAGTGTATATTGGTTTATGGGGGTGTCCTAGTGTTGTCAGATCTTGGAATGTCATCCAGAAATACTGCTGATAGCCACTGCTTCTGATTGTTTCATGCTATGTCTTTTTGAGGGTTGTGCTGATGGAAGACCATAGTTAGTTAGGACAGAGGCAGAAAGGCACAAAGGAAAAGTTCAGAAAGGAACAGTAACAGCACCCTCTTCATACATTTAAAAAAAATAACTAACTAAATAAAAAGCAATATTGTGATTTTTTTCAGCTCCAAGTAGATGAGCAGATATCTTTTCCTTTCAGATCCTAAAATATCTGCTAAAATCTGAAGAGAAAGAACTTGGCAACAAGATTCATGCTTTCTTCTCTGCCAGGCTTCCCAAGCTCACCCACAGGGGTGTTGGCCTTTCTATTGCAGCTGCATAAAACTTTATAACAACTTGTCAATAAGGCAAAAATTTATGACAATATTTTTGATAGGTACAGGAAAAAAATCCAAATCCCGCTGACTGTACAATTATCGTTGTATTATCCTTCCCTCACCATCATCTTTGCTGTATTTATGGGCAAGATGAGTCTAAAAGTGAGTGTAAAAACATTACATGGGAAGTATGGCAACTTGTCAAATTATATTATCTATGAAGGTAAATTCCATATTTGTGTCTTACAAGTTCCTGGCCATCCTGTCTGAACACATTCCTGTGAATCTGCTTTAGCAGGGAAGTTGAACCAGATGATCTCCAGAAGTCCTTTCCAACCCCAGCCATTTTGTGGTTCTGTAACCAGAGATAATAAACCAATAATAAACCATTCTGAAGCTATTCAGGCAGCTGGGGATTCTTTTGCCATGGCTTCTTTATCTATGGACCAATTGTATTTTGTCACCAGGCAATCTCAGATTTGCATCAACACTGTGCATTGGGAAAGAAAAGGAAATCTAGTAACCAAACCTTTCATAGTAAATACCTCAACCTTCACTCTCTGAGTTGTTCTGTAAGCAATTAAACTTTTACATGCTGTTTATCGAGTTTAAAGTAGCTGCTTTTATCTCAATTAGAAAGTACCTTAAATTACTATATTTTTAGACCCCGGGAATACAAAGCCAGCAGAATTAGTTGGATTTTAGATTCATAAAATTATGCATTCATTGGCATTAAAAAAAGAGAGACTTTTTGTTTTGTTACAAAATCAGCACAAGCTCTGCTCTTTGATCTTGGAAAATTAAATTAGGTGTAACTATTATTTCTACATTTACTGGCAATCAGAGGAGAAATGCACCCTGGGTGATGGCATTTCTACGTTGTTATAAATTGTAATAAAGACTTAAGATTGGCATTTCTATGGAAATAAAACGCCACCTAGTCTTTTTATTTTCTTTTTCATTCGAATTGCAAAGCTGAAAGCCCTATTTACCTTCAAATGGTATCTGCAAGAAATCAAGTTTGTTTTACAATCACAGAACCACAGAATGGGAAAGGTTAGAAGGGAGCACTGGAGGACGCTGATCCAATCTCCCTGCTCATGCAGGGTTATCTCAGAGCACATGGCACAGGATTCCATCCACATGGTTCTTGAATATCTCAATTGAGGGAAACTTCACAAACAGTCTGGACAATCTGTTCCAGTGCACCGTTCCTCACACTGTAAAGAATTTCTTTCTTATGTTCAGGTGGAACTGTGCATCATTTTCTGCCTTTTGTCCTATTTCTTGGCATCACTGAGCAGAGCCTGGCTCCATCCTCTCGACACCCTCCCTTCATATACTCATAGACATTGAGGAGGTCCCCTCTCAGTTGGTTCTTGTCAAGGCTGAACACACCAACTCTCTCAGCCTTTCCCCATAAGAGAGACGCTCCAGTCCTTTGATCACCTTTGTTGCCCTTCACTGGACCCGCTCCATGTCTCTCTGAGGAGCCCAGAACTGGACACATCACTGCAGGTGAGACCTCACTAGGGCTGAGCAGAGGGGCAGGATCACCTCTCTGGACCTGCTGGTTGTTCTCCTCCCCATGTAACCCAGGATACCACAGGCCTGCTTGGCCACAAGAGCACAAGGGCTCCTGAACTTTCCATATAGCAGAAAAACTTGACCTTCAAATAATGTAACCCCGCGAGAACTAAATATGACTAACCATTTAGGCCTGCACGAGGCTGAGAAATCTTTTCTTGCTATGTGCTACATGAATCCACTGTCAAATTACAGTTACAGATTTTTTTATTTTATACCCGTTTGATGCACAACCAGATGCACACCGGAGGGTGTTTTAAACTTTGACTGAAGGTACAGGCCCATCATTTGGAGTGTAAGAAGTTATGTATATGTCAGTTTAGAAATGTGGTTGTTTAGATTGGATCCTAGTCTTCAAAAGGGACAGAATCAAGATTATTCAAAAGGATTCAAAATTTACATCAAGCATCTTAATCAAGCCCGGTGTTTCTAGGCAATTGATCTGCAAAGTTACCAGCAATTTTCCTGTTAGATTTCGTGAGACAGCAAGTGAGCGAGATATCCCAGGCAAGACAGGATGCTGCTGCTAACATCTTATGGTCAGGCCCTTCCATAGTAACCTCTTCCTTATCTATTTTCCTGTTGATGAATGGCAACAATGACCTAAAAATATTTTTGAAGGGCCTTGATTAAAATCATATGCATTAAAATAACCTAAATGAAAAATGCAATCTTCCCATATTATAAAACTGGGAGAAACTAAGCCCTGGAGAATAAGCAGTTTGTGTAAAAGCTAGAGATACACAGTCATTGAACAACTTCCTCGAAGAAAAATTGTTCACTCAAATAGCATAGTTCTGCACTGGTGAATAAAGAGCTCCACAAAGAGTTCTAATAAGTCCTTGGGGAATCTTACAGGCACATATAGCATGCCTTGAAGGAGAAATTAACTCAGGCCATCTTGTATCAGGCAGGCTGTAACAAGCAGTGCCAAACCAGAGCAGAAAAAAAGACACGTATACATAACAAGTCTTAGCATCAAGAAGTGTGGTGTTCATTAACCTTTGTGTCTCTGTGGTTGAATCAACATGGAAAGATCTAATGCTTAAAGAGCATAATGCATAGTTATTTACTGTTGAAACAAACACATTCAAAAATGATGGACTTAATTGTGAGAGGTCTGCTACCAAAAATCTTTAACCAGTTCAGTATATGATAGACCAATGAAGGCTCTGAGAAAGAGGATAAACTTGTTGAAACACAAAGACCAACAGTATAAACCCTGTGTGCTTTTGAAATTATAATTAAAGCCCCAGCAAGACAGAATTTTAAGCTGTTCAGTCGTAATGAGAACATACACACAAAAAGGAAAAGAGCATGTCATCCAACCAAACATCATGTATGAAGAAAAGTAAAGAAGCCACTTTCAGTTAATAGATATAAGACATTACTTGGGTAATAAACTTTTTAGAAATGTATTGTGACCTTAAATAGAAAAACTGCTTTCAGAGCTTTTCAAAATGGGGAACCTTAGTTACACAATTCACAAGATACTTCAAATCTGATGACCAGATGAGTCAAATTCTGCATATACAGAAATTACATTTTGCTGAAGGTACTGTATTGCTGCTATTAAATCTCACATTGCTTTTGGACAATTTAGCCATAGGAGAGAATTGGAAAAGGGAAGAAAAATAAAGAAAGAAAGGTGGTCAGTAATGCTGAAAAGTGAGCCAGTAACACTGCCACGTTTTTTGGTAAGAACTAAACTTGACAACTTCAGATTTTTATAAGAAGTTTTTAATTAGAAAAGAACCCACAATCCTCCTTTCCAGCACTCACCCACATTGCATTGACTAAAATAGACCATGGAGCTACAGACAGTTATTCCCAGATCATCAACAGAGTTCACAGTACTGAAAAGCAGAGTTATCCTAATTTCTTTAGCCTTTGTCATTTTTTTGTGTTGAGATCATATTTGTTTTAAAAAGAGCTTCAATTTTATTTTTACAGGCAATACTTACTGAATATATTCTCTAGGTGTGTGCTAAGCAGCACCATAGCAGGGTAGAAATGGAAGCTGTATCCAACCACAGAGCTGTAAGCCTGCAGTATTATGCAATATCCTTCAGTCCACTGTAATTTAAAAAAAATTTCCAAGCATTGAGCAATGTGGCTTTGCAGATCAAGATGGGCTCTAAGAGAGAAAAAAAACATAGAAATACCTCAGTAAAAACCCTTACAGACCCTTCATTGTACAAACAATATGCATGCACAAGGGAAACAGTTCATGTAATCATAGAACAGTCTCACTTGGAAGTGGCTTTAAAGATCATATAGTTTGATCTGCCTGCCATGGGCAACACCTTCCACCAGACCAGGTTGCTTAAAGCCCCATCCAATCTGGCCTTGAACACTTACAGGGATGGGAAATCCACAATTTCTCTAGCCAGCCTGTTCCAGTGTCTCACCACCCCCACAGTAAAGAAATTCTTCCTAGGATCTAATCCAAACCTACTCTCTTACAGCTTAAGGCCATTTGCTCTTGTCTTACTGCTCTTGCAAAAAATCCCTCTCCAGTGTTCTTGTATCTCCCTAAAGTGCACAGCTAGAAAAACACTTTACATAGTAGATTTAATGGAGGAATTACAGAAGGTATACTTTGCTTCCATTAAAAGCTCTGATTCTCAGAGAAGGACAAAGTAGCAGTACTTAAAGCAGATTGGAAACAAAGCACAGGACCTAAAAGTGTTACCCTGATGAACTGTCTTAGACTAGCAGCAAATACTGTGGAAGAAGAATGATCACTAACTTGAGATTAAAGTATTACTCTCATTGTAGGAGCTTTTTTGGAGTCAGGCAACTCATACTGCTACCTTGGCACTAGCCTAAAGACATTTGTTCTCATTGTCACTGGACTGTTTCTCTCAGGTTTTCTTTGCAGTATCTGAGATGAGTTTATGGTCAACAGCAAAGGCATTGGTCTGGAAATGGTCTCTGGGATGACTCACTTTCCTGAGGTCTCTTCTTCCCTCTGCCTCTACCCCCCACACCTTCTCTCACCTACATATTCTACCCCAACTTCTGCTTTCATTATCATTTGTTTAGACATCCTTGTACTCACCTGCTACACGCCAAACAACTCAAGTACAAATATCTCAGCACAGTTAAGAAAATGCACGTGTGAATTTTTATTTTATTTTCAAAGTATACCATTATCTTCTTTCCACCTCTGTAAATGGGTGAGCCATGGGGCTATAAAGCAATCTTTTGGGATTGATCGAAACCATGCCAGAAATTAGATGCTGGCAACTTGACTAGTTACTGCCCTTTCTCTTTCAGCTTGCAAGTAACAAATTCGGGTACCAAAATTTTACATCTGTGCTATTTAAAAGTTGTATTTAATTTTTTATTTTCCAAGATGGACACTTATAAAAACTGCTTAAGGAAAAAAAATTACTGTGATTGTATTGCAGGGTTAACAACAGGAGACAAGAATACAAGATGTGATTTATTGTTTGGTTAAGGAGTAATGGGAGAAGACAACAGTCGGGAATTTCACTTTCTCACACATTCTCAGGCATACTTGGTCAAAAAATAAGAAGCCAGATTATGGCCACCAAAAGCTACCTGTTTCCCCAGAATTCTCATCAAATATTTAAGTATCAAGGACAAAATCAAGAGTTACAATTTCATAGCTAACCTTTGGAGAATAAGCATTTTGCTGACTTTTGCTGCTAGTCAGTCAGAAATGAATCAGATTTTTCTACCTACAAAACCATCTACACTCAGAGATTGGTAATAGCATAATTTACCAGGTGGCAGACAATTAAATCCTTGCCAGACTGGCTGAAAATTTTAGTTCAGAAAGAGGTGCTGCACTCCCCTCATATTTTTATCTATGGTCTGAGACTATTATCTGTTTACCATCAATCCTGAATTTTGGATGTGAGAATAAGAGGGTCTAAATTAGTGTGGTGCAACACAGAGAAAGACAGACAAAGGAGTATGAAAGAAAAGCAACCAACAAGACAGTTGAGAAACAGGAAGCTGAAAGCAGACCGTCTTTTTAAGCTCCTATTTACATTTTTTAAATCTTTGTGCAAAGGATGTGAATTTCAATCCTAGGACTAGAAAAGAGTACAGCATGGTAAAAGATAAAAGAATTCTCACTGATAGGGCCCCAAGTCTCCCATCACTGAAGCCTCTCATCCCTGTCTCAAATAACAGAACAGTCATCAACTACGGTATTGGTTTAGAGCTGTAGAATATATTTCCATCCTACTAAAAAGAAGAATTTCGGCCCTGCTCAGGAAAAGGTTTAGGTGCTGCTGACTTTCACTTCTTGCTGAATATGTATATTAACTCTCTTAAAATACTTTTGATATGGAAAGATTCTGTTCAGATGCCCATGTATGCTGATGGAAAAAAATAGAAAATTAGATGTTATTAGCTGCACAGTTATAAGACCAGAAGAAACCCGAAGCAATAGACAATAACACAGGAAAATTTAAGAGAGTACAGCCATAATTACATTTATTAAAAGACATGCCACAACAACTAGAGTTAGGAAATTAGTTAGGTATAGATATCATGTAATCAGAAAACACACTTACCTAAAAAAACAGAATATATTACAGCACAAACAAAATCAAGTTCACCATGCACTACACAGTCACAAAATACGGTTCTTTAATACATCTTATATCTTCTTTTAGTTTTAAGTCATCTCCACAGGTATGGAATACTTTTCATGCAATGCCACAAGATGCTTTACAAATGAAAGCTTTTGCTTATTAAAATATACAGACAATCTTTATATAAAAACATTTTACATTTCCATTTGTTTCCCCAAACACTCTTTTGCCAGATTTAAAAAAACAAAAACAAAAACCAACCAAAACATGGTGTTATAAATATTTACAGTATTTTCTTGTGTTAGATGAACATTTTAATAAACTGAAAGGTAACTTTTATGAACAGATCATGTGAAATGAGGGAATGACAGCAATTCTTAGAGATGTTTACTTGAGTACAGTACTAAAAGCAACATATTAACTTTTTGCCTTCTCTCACATCATTTGGTTCACATTACTATCTCATTTTCCACTGTTTCTGCCACCAGTAATAGTCTCAAACAGAGGCCACTTTGCATTGGGTCTTCTTCCCGTCAGAAAGAGTGTGAGAGAAAACAGGTTTTCATATATCTCAGTAAAACCAGAAATCTTTGGTCAGAGAGTGAAGTGACATTCTGATGCAAGAATCCGCTTGGTTAGTAACTTTTGTCTTGTGCTGCTGCAGTTCTATAGGGAACTTCTGCAGAAAGTGGGTAACATATTCAAAAATATTTGGAAAGTGCTTCAAATCAAGTTTATGTGTGGTAACTTCCCACTCATAAATAAAGCAGAGTTTCCAAGAACTGCAAAACTGCTTACGGTGATGACATTAATCTGCTAAAGTAAAAGCTTTCTTCATTTATCAAGGACCTTCAATTATGTAAGCATTTAATCCCTTTGGGACTGCTCCAAGCACAACATGTCATTATTATTTGAAGTTGGAAATAACGTGGGTTATGCTTGGATTCCTGCATATTGCAGGACAAAAGAAAAAACTGTAATGAGCAAGACAGTAGAATAATTAAATCTGTATTGAAACAGCTGTAGTTCACTTCTTGTATAGTCAGTAGGCAATATTAATTTTTCACAATACACATTTTCCAGAGGGGAAAAATGTATTTATTTTACTTAGGATACCTACAGATATGAAAAATCCTACATATAAAAGTACTAAAGGCACAAAAACTTTGGTCCAATTTTGTTCCTATATCACATCCCCCATCAATAAAACCCTGAAGTTAAATACTTCAGAAATTCTATATTCTGTTAGCATTTGCTTGAAAAAGAGCAAGCAAACAATCTTGTATATAGCAAACCAAACTTCAGAAGACAAAGTTAAAGAAAAAATTCTGTGCAATCTGACTAGTATCGTTTCAGCACAACACTAACAAGACGAAGTCTGGTAGTTGTGCTCTAACTAGCAATGTATCAGGGGCAAATGTTAAGGCAAAACAATGCTCTTTGTAGGCAGCTGACCTCTCATTTGAAAAACAGAAGTATAAGCTACAGCATAAAATGGCAAGTAATAGGGCTACATCTCTTATAAAAAACCCCCGCTTACCACTTTCCTACTGACATGAATCAGAGGAGGGCAAGATAATTGATCAGACAGACCTGACTGGCACTACTACCCATAAAGACTAACAGTTTTCTTGGCATACAAACACAGGTTTGCTGTCTGTAATCAGAAAATGTCACAAATAGGCAAGTCTCCACAGATATGTGGAATATCTTCCCAATAAAAAGGACCTCAATTTATCAGTACACAAAACCAGTGCAACTTACAGGACCAGCAGACAAGGCAACTAAGTCAAATTATGAATCAAAGTTTCAGAAATTTGTTCTGATGTTTTAAGAGTTCTGCAGAAATTCAAGAAGTAGTTTTACCATTATATAACAAATCAAGGATAATTTGAAAAGGCACTTAGCTGCTCCTGGGCTGTTAAAAAGGCCTTATTACACTTTGAACCAAGTGTGCATCCATCAAAAAAAAAAATGGACTAGGAGGTAACTCAGAGTTGATTCAAGGACATGACATATACAGAGGTATAACCATACAGTCATAGAATCACAGAATATGAAGAAGTGGAAGGGATCCACAGGATCATCGAATCCAGCTCCTGACCCTGCACAAAACAGCCCCAAGGAATCACACCATGTGCCCAAATTCCAAACTTACACTGTGCACATTACCAGATACTTCAGAAACTAATAACATATGTTAAAGAAATTATAAACCTATCTTTAACAACTTAAGGCCACAGTATAGAGAAGATGAAGCCAGAATCCTCTTCAGAGTTACACAGTTAACAGGGAAAAAGGCAAAAGACATAGAATGCAGTACATTTAAAGCGTACATATTAAGGAAGCAAATTGACAGTGAGGACTGCCAAACAGAACAGCAAAGAACAGATAATTTGCTCCATTTGATTTTTTTTTTTTTTTTTTACATGGACAATTTTTTGAGTAACTGCTCAAAGTTGTCCATAATCTGACTGAAAGGTAAGACTACGGCCTTTGGAGGTTCCTTTCCATCCACATCACTGTAAGATTCTGTAGAATAATATCATTCTTTCCCAAATCCTGCTCTTTTCACAGATATCAAGGGATCTGCTATAGGCTTTAGAGAATCAAGAACCGAGATGCAACTGTGCTTTTGCACCAGGCACTATTGAGTCAAGCACAACAAATATTCCTTCTGCCATGATTCTTCACTAACAATGCATTGTAATAACTAAGGTGTTATGTTTGTGCTTTCAGTTATTCAAGGCAGAACACTAAAAGGGGAAAAGTAGCCTTACCTAGTGCCTTTATGCTGCTAAGCAAATGTTAAGATGTACTGTCAAGTTTCAAAGCTTATCTGCATATCTTGTAAAAGCAGATCTCCCTAAGAGGCAGCATCTTTCAGATACACACAAATCTAAAAGTATCTTGACAAGAATAATTTGGTTGCAAAAAATAGAGCAATAAAGATGAATAAAAAAGGATAAATTATACTTGTATCACAAAACCAGAAAGCTGTGGACACACACATTTAGAGAGCTAGGGAATTACAGCTTGGAAATTCTTTTCAGGCCTGGATTTCTCCTGTCTCTCTGGTCCATTCTCAGGCTGACAAGCTGACTACAGCTTCAGTTAGGGAGGAAATCTCCCAGGGTGATAATATGGTGAAAAACAGAGTGGAATTCATAATAAAGATTAACACCTGGTGTCTTTCCCATGGGATACATCCTGAGGTACTGTCCCAAAGATGTTTTTCCCAATTGTCCAATGAACTCCTGTCCTGTCCTAGCTGCACGTAACACACTTTAAATACGGGCTGTCCGTACAATAAAGTTGGCCTTTTTTCCCTAAAGAGGTCCAGGTGTGTTGCTGTCCTTTCTCTCTCTTTGCAGCGCAGTAACCACAAAAAGCAAACGTAATACCCACTTTCAGATTTTTCTAAAGTCGAAAATTTTTAAGATTCTGCAGGAAATCTTTCCATCAATGCTCACAGTGAAAGGGAAGGTGTTTGAAAGGGCCAGTCAAATCTGATGAATCAACAAATGCTTTCTGGGGCTGTGTCCCTGGCTGTGTGCCAGGGGTTTGGCTACTTTGACCATGGGACTTGCTTTCAGAAACTGGGTCTACTGAGGGCTGATGGGGTCCATCTGTCAGAAGAGGGCAAGACCATCTTCTGCCACAGGCTTGCCAAGGTGAGAAGGGCTTTAAACGAAAGATGCCAGGGGGAAGAGAACCTCAGTCCATCCCACTCCTACCAGTTTGGTGCCAGTGCCAGCAATAGATTGCCAGAGCCTGAAGACGGATCACAGGTCAGCAGAAAAGCACCAGAACACCACAAAGGAATTCCAGCTATTCCAGCCAGTAAGTCAGCTTCATTAGGGTCTCAACTCCAAAGCATTTATACAATAGCACATAAGAAGGGGAATAAACAAGAAGAGTTAAAGATGTGGGGGTGCCTACGATCTCGTTGGTATCTCCAGAAAGACAGAGAAGATGAGGCCCCTTACAGACAGAGAGAAGGCTCACAAACCTTGTTCCTCATGGGAATCTTCAACCACCCTAATATCTGTCAACACAGTAGCACATAAACAACCCAGGAGGTTCCTGGAATGCATTGATGGTAACTTCCTTCTTCAAGTGATAGAGGAGCTAATGAGAAGATATACTATGCTGGACCTTTTTCCCCCAACAAGGAGGGGCTGGTGGGAAATGTGAAGTCCGAGGGCAGCCTGGACCACAAGGACCACAAAATGGAGTTTGAGATCCTTAGGGCAGCAAGGAAGGTGCACAGAAAGCTCACTACCCTGGACCTCAGGAGAGCAGACTTCGGCCTCTCAAAGATCTGCCCCATAGAATATCATGGAATAAAGGAGGGAAGAGGGACCAAGGAAAACTGGTTGGTATTCAAGGATCACCTTCTCCAAGCTCAGGAGTGATTATCCCAACAAAGAGAAAGTCAGGCAAAATGTCAGGATGGCATTAGATGAACAAGGAACTCCTGGATGAACTCAAACACTAAAAAAAAAGGTACAGAGGGTGGAAGTAACAATATGTAGCCAAGGAAGAGGTTTTCTGAGAGGCCCAAGTCTATGAAACTATGAAAGCTAAAGCTTCACTTGAAAAGTGGAAATATAGCCTGTATTTGTAAAAAGGGAAATCAGTAAGACCCAGAGAACTGTAAGTCTGGAAGTCCCACCTTGGTTCTCAATAAGATTATGAAGTAAATGGCTTCCCTAAAGGCAAATTATGCCTGACAGATTGAATGGCCTTCTACACCAGAGTTATGGCAATGGTGGATAAGAAAAGAGCAACTGATGTCATCTACCAGGACTTGAGCAAAGCATGACACTGTCCCACAAAACCTCCTTGTCTCTAAACTGGAGACATAGATTTGGTAGGTGGACCTCTAGCTGGAAAAGGAATTAGCTGGATGGCCACATTCATTGTGGTCAACAGCTTGACCAATAACGAGCAGTGTTCTGTAAGAAAGAGCACTGGTACCAGAGCTGTTAAACACCCTTGTTGGTGGCACAGACAGTGGAATCAACTGCACCCTCTGCAAGTTTGCTGATAACACCAAGCTGTGTGGTGCACCTGGAAGGAAAAGACACCTGGAAGGAAAGGAAAGCATCTAGAAGGACCTGGACAAACTGAGCAGTGAGCCTGTGAGAACCTCATATAGATCAACCCACACCATTCTGGGATTCTATGAAATCCAAAAGATAACATCCCTTAGGGGACTATTATTCCTAAGCCAGTTGAACTTTGCAGTACATAGCACATTCTGCATATTTATATAGTTGTGTTGTACAACACTTATTATAGCTACATCTGTGCAGTCAGACTGGCTGCTACTGTTGAGGACTACGTTTCCTGAGGTAGCTGGGGTGCAGCTGCAGTGGGAGCTGCAGGTGGAGCTCTGGCTGGTGGAGCCCAGGCAAAAAGGTCGTGAAGAGCTGACCCTCGGCACAACAAGGGGGACCTGTGGCCCAGCCAGGGGACAGGACACTGAGGCACGGCAGGAGCCTGTGATCCCAGACCTTCCCATGCTTAGACTGCTGAGGGGATAAAAGCCCAGGAGCTCCTTTGCTCTGGATCCCTCCTCAGAGACACCAGCTCAAGCTGTTTGTTTGTAATTGCACCATGATGAAATTATTTTAATGGCTGGGACACCTGAGACTGCTATGGAAAACCTGGGGTCCACCCAGTAAGGAAATCTGGTATGACAGTGGGAATGTGGGGGCAGAGCTGGGAAGGCTCCAGCTACAGGTGGTCCCAGCTCAGGTGGTGCAAGAGTGACTGCCAGAGTGGCTCCTGGATGGTCGGGCAGGGAAGTTTTCTTAACACTATATCTGTAATCAATTTACATACATCAAGGTAGTATCTGGCAAGCTACTATAAGGCTGATTTTGCAAAAATAATTCAGAAGGAAAATTTGAGAAAACTCACTACAGAATACTCAGGTCATGGTAGAAACATACTCTTTCTTCCAGAAAGATTAAGTCATACAAATCAGATGAACAAAACCAGTTATGAATGGCAAAACATTACAGCAGAAACAAATTCTGAAACAGTTAGAAGTAAATGAATACCATGCTTGAAATAAATTGGTCTTTAAAATGTGGTAAAATTAAATCAATTTTCAATTAATTTATGTGAAAGAAAACACTAGGAAAGAAAAGCTCTTAAAATGAAAATCAGCTTATTAAAATGCAACCAAAAGTCATTTGTATTCATCTGTACAGTCATGGCAAAACTTAACTGCATCTCAGCTCATTCCCCAAAGAGGAATCAAGATTCAGTATCAAACATTTTCATTTTTTCATACTTACAAAGGAAAGAATGATAGCATTCTATTACTTTAAGTTTAATACTGTAAAGTATTAAAGAAATGCAGAAACCCATAAGAGAATATTTTGATACAGCCAGTGTCTCTCAAAAAATCAGATGAAGAGCAGAAAATGAACTGCATTTGCTGTTTGGCCTTCCTATACAGGTTTGTTTGGTTTTTTAGTATATTTTTTCTGGGTGTGAATTTTTTATCAGTGAAGAACTACCATCAGAGAAGTGCAACTAGGTAAATTTAAAGAATTCCTATGTGATTTTACAACAAATGAAACCTCATTCCCATCTATATTCAACCTCCTTAAGAAAGCACAAGAAATTAGAATTCAAAGTATTAATTAATGAAAAAATATATCTTGAAGTATAAATGAAAATATTTTCAAAAAGAGCAAGAGGAGAATTTTCACAAAGCCCACAATATTTTTGCAAGATACTTCAGATAACACTCTAGTCTATTGTTTCACACACACAGTATAAGGCACATCATAAGAAATTAGGTAAATACACAGTAATTTAAGTATTAGACTTTAGAATGGTAAAAAACCTCGAAGTTTAGTTTTTCTGCCCTGAAAGATGACCTTAGCAAAAATAGCTTCTTAAAAAGTTGAGAAACCATCATAGACCTGAATATTTTCCATAAGACTGCAAACAATTATTTAGAGAAATGTAAAAAAAATATTTTAAATCAAGACCATTTGCTTGTTTTATTTTCTCCAAGGTACTATTACACATCCCTTCATAGTAGAAATAGGACATCAAACTTCCAACCCACAGTCAAGTCAAACTAATTCTCCAATACCACACCTTGAAGAAACTTGTCAAATACCTTTTATTCCATAGAGAGAAGGCACTGCCTTTTCTCTAATAATTTAATCTAAAGAACAGCACAGACTTTTTATTTTTATAAACAAGTTATTTGTAAAGATTCACCAAAGTATGAACACACACCCTGGTAATATAAATACTATTTTTAGAGGATACTCACAGTTACTGTTTGCTTTTCTTCAAGAAACCCAAGCACTAGTTCACATTCAAATTAGTGTTTAATCTGCACAGAGTAGATTTACCTTTTCATTAAACATACTTGTTTGGTACATTGTAAAAGCACTCTAAATTGTTTTGTAAGGCTGATTTCAAACAAAAGCTGAAAGGATGTTCTCAAAATATAATTTTAAGTAGGAAATTTGATGATAAATATTGTTGCTAAAACTATTTCACAGAAGAATCTTTATATGGATGACATACTTCCAGCTAGAATTAGAATAAATAATCACTTAATTCTTTGTATATGAAGGAGGTTTTTCTATCAGGAAACGGAGTTGGTCACAACTGTCTTGGTCTCTATTTGAAGATTTTACTAAAACCATTATGCAGCCTTAAAGGGAAAATTCACAGAAAATTCAGATTGACGATTTTGAGAAGGAAACTCTGAGATGCTGGTTTTCTCCAAAGTCATGATTGTGAAGCTCAATGAGAGCGTGAACTGCTTCTTCCACAGAGCCCAGTTGGATAAGAGCCATTTTGCAATCTTTCCTAAAGAAGAATAAAAACTATTATTAATCCTAACCAAATTTTCATTAGCCAACACAGGAAAGTGGCATAAGTGGGTTTTTTCTCAGCTATATCACACACACTTCTACAGCAAAAGAATCAGAGCTATTTATCCATCTGCTAAAATGTAAAGATAGCAAAACTACATAAATTTTGCAGATTTATGGCTTAAAATCATGTCATTCTTTCATTACACTGGACCTCAAAAAGCTAGGTCAAAATAAGACTTGAAGACCTCTAAGAAATACTTGCATTGTCCATACAGATGGGATTATTGTAGCAGGTGTGATTGTACTAAAATAATGCTGCCAACTGACCTTAATTAATAAATATACATTGTCATCACTGTAATTTTTTATATGGCATTTTACATACACAAAGCTTGTATTTTTTCAAGAAGTGAGCATTTACTTTCCTTAAACTTATTTTACTTTGAACATACATGGTATTTGTCAAAAAGCTGCATATTTTAGTTTAGTTATGCTAACCTAGTATTCAATTTAAAATTTTAAGACTGAAAGTATCATAAAAATCGTGATAGGTGTGCCACCTTTGCCTATAGCTATATATGGAATTCTGCCTGCAGTTATATATACATAGAAAGTCACAAAAAAGCAATTAGCTATTTTCCAGGATGAAAGCTTGCTTAGCAATTTTACAAGAGAACTTACTGGAAAAATTTGAAGCCTTTCACAGTAGATCCTTTACTTGTAAAAAGGTTCTTCAAATCATCGACAGTAACGGAAGGCCTAATTGGAAAACAAAAGACCAAAAAACAAACAAAACAAAAACAAACTCCCCTTAACTTGTAGAAGAGCACAGAGTTCTATAATAATATCAAGATCTCAATTTTAGTTTCTAAACTAGCTTTTGCTGTTTAAATTTAAATCTCCATCAACTCAAACCATGTCAACCCTTCAGCCCAAAACACTTGCCTTTTACTCTACATTTTAGTGTCATATTGTGCCACAAAAATATTTTGGGCACAATCTATTGTTCTTCATCCAACCCTGCTTCTTTCTCAGTAAAATTCAAATTGCATAACAATCTCCTAAAATCTTAAGGAAAACATTTCATCTTGCAATTTGTGCAAGTGCACGTCACATATTTTCAATTTTGAAAGATTTTCATTTTACTCAAAAAGCTATTTTCAGAGTGTCTTATAATTTCCTTTCTTACTTGGGCAAAATTCCAGTTTCCTTTTTTCCCTTCCTGTACAGTTGTCAAACAAGAGAAGCCTGTAAAAACTTACATTTGGCTGTTACTCCACACACTACTGATAACATTTTAGACATGAAAAAGGTTATTTCAGTCTTAAAGAACACACTAAATACTATTTTTTTTCTCACAACTTGCCCTACACATAAGAGATCTGAATTCTGTAAAAAGTGTTCTTTAAAATGTTAGAATTATTAGAAATTGTATCTATATTAAATAGCAATGCCAATGATGAATTTGTTGTCATGTACATTACCTCAAACAAACATGTCTTTAACCTTTGTGAAAATCTGTGACACATGATTTAATGTCAAAAACCAAAAGCATACTCTCAAGAAAATGTAAACTGATCAAAACTCAAAGAAGATAATTCCTTCAGTTATCCTCTTTGCTAATGATAAAAATGAGACAGTTAAAGGATTCACTTATTGTTAATTACATACCAGAATGACCCACAGCAGAATGAATTGTAAAATGCCAAGGAAAGAAAACCAAAACTTATGTCAGACTTTTAAATTTGACAACATAACCTGAAAACATCTTTCCAAGAAGATGACACATGCAGATACTCACGGAATGTTGGAAAGATGCAGGGTGGCAGATGGAGGAAAGATATTTTGGAAGTTCTTAGAGCAGGGATTCTTAAAGCGATGTAAAGGGCTATTGCTATAGTCCTTTGTCAGACCTTTGTCCTCTTGTCCCTCACGAGGAAGTTGAATTGTCTGATATTTTGAAAGAGTAGCATGCATGACCCTTCCATAAAGCCTCTGTCCATTCAAGTAGTTGATAGCTAACCAGTGGAAATGTAATTTGAACAGGAATTAACGGAGGTGAAGAAAAGACAATTCTTTGTATACTAATACTGTTTTCTGCAAAGTGTCAAATTTCACATTCTAAATTTATACTGCAACTTCCACATCTACCAGGTAAGCTATGTCACAACATTACATTTAAAAATGGTAAAAGGACATAATATAATCTCTAGTTCAAATGCCAAAAAATGCAAAACAACATTTCAATACAGACCAGTTGATTATTCTTAAATAGGTAGATAAAAGATAAATTACAGGAAAATATTATAATATATGATTAAAATAAATGACAGGAGAGTTGTATGTTTTAATTCTAATATTTACTAGATTGAGACTGACAGGACTTTTATTTAAAACCACATGTAGTAATGCAGCACAATGATGCATTTAATTTGTTTATGCTTGTCACTGACAGAGGACAAATTCCTCCTTTATATTAAACTCTTGTTAGCTTGAAGCATAACTGTGCCTTAAAAATCAATACCTAATTGAGCCTGGGTTGCATCCGCCATCTGAACCAAAGCAATTCCTCTTTTCTTAAACATGATCTTCACACGATGCACATCACCATACACACCTGTGGAAATCCAGAAAGGAAATTTTTTCAGAGCACTACTATGAAAAGCACAAGGCCAAGACTGTTTCTTTTGACTAACATTAGTGTTACAGAGACCAATCACCTCATTAAACAGGCTGGTTAAAATATTAGTAGAAGGAGAGTTTTAAAGTTTGTGTATTATTTTCTGGGGGTCATAAGTAGAGAAAAATCCCCCGGGTCCTAATCATACTACTGCATGTTTATGTTCAGTTTTTAAATAGTGCAATAGTTGTCAAAGCCCTCTTAACTGAGGCATTTTAAAATATTACTCTGCCAAACACTGTCCCCTGCAACTAACGTACAAGCCAATTCTGTACAGCATTTCCTCTGATGCAGCCTCTGTTTTTTCATCTTACTTTGCTTTCCTATTTTTTGTAGTAAACAAATTGGACCACACACCGAAATTCTTCTGACAGTTACAGTTTTGTCATTATGGTATCTGTGGCTTTTAAGTCCTGACTCAACTTACTGCCATTTTAAAACCAGTGCGTTCTCTCATTGCATTTCCTGGACATGCACAGAGCAATGAAATTGGAATTAACTAGCAGGGGTCAGATAAATAAAAAGAACCACTAGCCCTGTGGTTTGTCAAGGTATATTGACATATCTTACCAAATAGGATGAAAAGTCCATAAGGTGTGATGGCCTGTTTAAATGATAAAATGAGTACATTATTTCTAAAGCCATGCAATTAAAGACATCTATTCCATAAGTGCATGGTAAACAAAAAGAATGGAAGAGATACTAATACATAAACCTGTCTCTCCAACAGCCATTCCCTGCAATAACCACAGTGTATGGCACTCTTGTTAATACACATTTGCTATCCACATGTCAAATACGTAAACAAGGAAACACTTCAGCTCATGCATTTTCATCACTCCAGTCATTCTATCATGCTGAAGAAGCTATTCATTTTTTAAGTAGCTTCATTATTTGACCTTATCCTTTCTTAGCTAGAAGCTCATTCCCTGAAAAAAATGAAAGACATGTGTTAAATTAAAAATAAAGCATTAAAGAACTCCTTTGTATGTTGTAAAGAACAGGCAATATCAACAAAACTAAACCCAGTTTCTTCAAAATGTGTTTGCTTTGTCATAATTTTTGTCCCCATTCCTCTACATGGCTGTGATATTCTAAAGGGAGACACTGAAAATTTAACTGCTTATGTATGAAGCATATAGAAGGCAGTATTTAAATTGTATTCAATTAGAAGCTGTGAATAGAAAGCTAAATATTGAAAGAAATTCTTTTTCTTCAATGATTCTCAATTAAATTCTTCTGTGCCAAGTACCAAAGAAGATAATTTACAATCTAATGCAGTCAAAATTTTTTCAACTGAGCAAAAGTTTCGCCAGTAATGAGTTCTAAAACTACCTGCGCACACTCTCTAGCCCTATTCCTTCTCAAATGTGTACCAAACATACCTAAACTATTCACAAATAGATGACATTGCAGCCTAAGTGAAAGGCCATACCCATTTATCTCGGTATTTAGTGGCAGAGAACATTTACTACTGATGTAAAATTTAACTTCACCAAGAGTTTATTCTTCTGGCCCAAATATTTAAATTCGAGTTTATTCTTCTGGCCCAAATATTTAAATTCAGGACGGAGATTTCTGTTTTTAAAAAGAAATTTCTTGTTCAAATGAGACAATATTTCTACTTAAAAAAACCCCGCGAGGTGAGAGGAGAAGGAAAGACAAAAGTAGTAATTTGAAATTAATGAAGGAATGTTTAAATGCCCACTGAAACCCTGCAACAGGAGAGAAATATGAGCTGAAATAAGGACAACCAGATTTTCTATACAGAGTAAAAGGAGTGACAGGGGTCAGACAACCAATACTGAAGGACAAGCATTACAGAACTACCAAGAAATACATTTCCAACAGTTAATGCTGTAGTACATTCTTATTTTTATCCTTTTAAGAAGTTGAGCATTACTTAATACAATTATATTGTATCATGCATTACAGCACTAAGTTCTAAATGAAATCTTAGGTATGATTAGTACTTTGTAAATGATCAACGTCCTAAAAAGAGCCCTGACCTATACTTCACATGTGCTTATACTTAAGAGTCAAGCTCCTTTCAGATTCAGAAAATCGTCTTAAATAGTCAGCTGCAGAAAGCACATCCTGACCCATCATCAGAAAGTCACTGATATATTGAAAAAGTGACTTGTCTTACATCCCTATCTACAGCTGGGTTTTTGATGCTTACTGTGAATTTGGCTGTTAGTATGAAAATAGAAACAGAACAATTACTTAAAGAAACTGGTGAACAGATTTTTAAACTTCAGAATATGAAGGTAACTTCAATTGTGCCAACAAATCCCAGAAGTTTTACAGTTAAAGAAATGTACTGAGTATGTGTTAGAAGAATTTTACACTGCTGCAATAGGACTGCCTATCAACAGTCAAAAAGAATTGTGTTTGATGGCCCTGGTAAATCTTGATTTTAATTTTTTAAGAATATGTATATTGCTTTTAATTAAGCACTGATCAGAGTTCAAATAACATGAGTAAGATTATACTCCAGCCTGTATCATTTCCACTACAAAAATAACTTTCCAAGTTGTCCTTGGTAATTTTAGTGCCACCACATGAAAAAGTATCTGTGTGGTACTTTGAAAAGTGAACATGGGTACTTATTAACTTTTAAAAATAAATGTACAATGTACCTGTATTCTTTTTCTTCAATTTCGAAAAAGTTGCAAAACCAGAAAGATCCTACACATGTTTAGAAAGGTTTGATTTGGAATGCTTTTATTTCCTTTTCTGTTCCCTCCTTTCCATTTAATTCCTTGGTTTTTAACCAATGTAAGGAAAAATCCTTTGCCTTCTTTACAGATAAAACAGCACACAGAGGAGTCATACTAACAGAGATATCATAAATTATCATTATGTATGTTGTTTACATCTTCAAACATTTCTCATATATGACCACAGACGTCTCTCTAATTACTAGCTACACTGCTAACATAGGGTTCCTAAAGTAAATTTTGTTAGGAAGCTTTTCACTGATGACTGGAGTTTTTAATCCTCAGCAATATTGCCAACTACCTAAAACAAGTACAGAGCTGGCCTGTTTTTTATATTATCAGCATAGAGAATTTCTCTTATTCCTTCAGCTAATGGCAGTTTGCAAGGATTCTGGCAGTTGGCACAAGGTGACATTTGCATCAGTTCAGCAATCAAACTTACTTCAGGGTTGAGGTTGCTGACTAGTAAAACAGAGTTTCCTGGAATACCAGGAATAGTCATGTGTCCAGGCGCTGCTGATGTGGTGACTGTCAGAGGACCAAGTGCTCCAGGAACAGCAGGACCTGGAAAGGTATAAACAGCATCACTTGACATCTCAAAGTGGAGAAGAAAGAATACACATGCAGGTTATATTTGGCAAAAACATCAATATTCAATTTTAAAATGTTTTTAAGGAATTTAGTTATTACTAGTAACTGACCAATAAAGCAGGAAGCACCTCCATTTCAGAGAAAAGAGAAACATTCAGGTACACAAGCAGATCCAAACAAAAGGGGACATAAATTGCAGCCCAAGAATGAATAAAAATAATTCAGCACACAAGTTTATCCTGTGCTAGCAAAGAAAAGATCACAGTCTAAAAAATTAACTATTTTTTCACCTGATAGCCAGAAGAGGGGAGACCTCCCTTTATTTGCTTTGAAAGTCATAGCAGTTTTATGATTCTTGAGAAAAACAAATGCTTAATTTCTTCTCTTGCAGGTAAACTTTATCATGGCATTTAGGTTCTTTGCTTATTAAACAATAAACTATATCAGTATATGGTTTTTATTACAGAAGCTTATTTTACTGAGTGCATATATATGAGAAAGAATTACAATTACTCAAATTAATACTGTGTTCTGATTGCTATATTTTAAAACAAATGGCTCTGAACAGATGTATTTAGATGAGCCACTGGCCATAACTAGAGACACCATATTTTCAGAAAACAAACTTACCTGTTCCCTGATGGAAGCCCAAGGGTGGGGCAAACCCAGGAGGCCCTGTATATGGTGGAAAGACGGTATTTTGGGTGGCTAGAGAGAACAGACAGATTTTTTAAAGCAGATTTTAAAAGTTTTAGAAAACAGAAGAGATTTCAGCAATCAGAATCAGGTATCAGTGTTGCTATTTGGACTTTAATTGTGACTTCAGATGTTTATAAAACTTTTGGGTTAAAACTCCCATTGAAGTCCAAGATTCCATGCTTCACAAAGACAGTTTTCAGCCACTTTTGAAGGCAAATATTCTCGTCAGCCTCAACATTCTTCTCTAAAATGAAGTCAGGGTAAAATGTAAATTGGAGAAGTTTGAATAGGAAAGCACAGCAGCGATTACTATCCATTAAAGCCTGTTGATAGTTACTATTCACACAATGGACATGTATTCTAGAAATCTTTCACAAGTAAATACAGTCAAAGATGTTTTGCAATGATAAGATACACCTCCTGAATACTAAGATCAGTATAAGATAAACAATACAAACTTCTAAACTAATCTGAGGTTCTGATTTTTACTAGCTGCTGAAATCCATAAAGCATACATATTCTGCTTTTTAAGGAGATGTACTTTCCAAGTTTGTGCAACTTTATAAATAACCACTGTTTTTTATAGTTCCCCTGGAAACCACAAGCATTAACCAGATTTAGAATAGCAACATATGGGGAGTCCCAGCATCAAAGATAGCTCAGTAACTTTCACATTAGTATGTGGAGTTAAGTGCTACCCAGGATAGCACACAAAGCTGTGTTCTAAGCAGTTAGATACAAGCTTGAGCTGTAGATTCGTTCATTTGTAAGGACACACCAGATTTTAATTTTTTTAATGGGGCATCAGAATGGGTATCATCAGACAGCACTTTCTACAAGCTTGGTAATATGTCTGTTTTACTACTCAAACCTCCACATCACTGACTAAAACAGAGCTACTAGCAAATGGTTATTGATAGGGATAACACAATGCCAAAAGAAGAATCTATTATGAATTACAAAAGGAAATGGAACAGACACCACAGATCAAGCATTCGTGAATACTGCATCACATTAAACCTCCTCTTATCTGTGGCAACAAAGTGTCTTTCATACAAAAAACTGAACACATCACACCAAAGCAGTAAATACATTCTTGACCTTATACTGACAAGTTCTGGCAATATAGTTATTAATCACTTATTCACAATCCAAGAACGGTAATGGAAACATTAATGAAGAAATAGATCAAGAACTTTTATTCTGCCAAGGAAGACCTGCATGTTTCACCCTGATACCAAAATCAGGAATGTAAAAATGGTTAAACTGAGCTAATGCAGAGAGATCTGGAATTCTTTGTTGCTTTTTTTTTTTTTTAAATTCATTTGCTTCATGGCTATCAGCCTAGCTTTCTAAGCAAGCCAATTCATGTATTTGTGCTCACTGGATGCAAGAACCCTTTAAATGCAAAATATGCACAAAATCTGTTTGTTTATAGTGCAGTGCCTTTTCCACAAAAAGAAAAAGAAAAAAAGAGAAGAAAAATAAGTTTCAAGAGCAGTTCAGTTTTGCTATTAAGATAACTTTAAGCCTATAATAAAAAACAGATGTATTATTCTGTTACCAGCTTTGTCTTATAATTCTGTATCAAAACTACATCCACTAGTAATACGAGGCAGTGGAAGTACTCACATGACTTAGAACATCTTTTCCGCATGTTTTGTAATTGAGCCTCTCAGAACATGCTAATGGCATACGTGCATGTTGTTACCACTGCCAGAAAGGCTAGGAAGCATGCTTCTCCCTGTCTACAGCTATTTTGCATTGTTTTTTTAAACAGCTGTGCAGCTGCTTCACAGTGAATGCATCACAGACAAATTTTGGTACTGACATCAGACTATTCCAGCACTTTTTACTCTTATACTAAAATACAAGGCTCCTAGCAATGAGAAGCTTGGAAGAGTGAGGGGGAAGATAGGGAGAAGTGTTCATGTGTTATTCTCCAAGAGCATAGTTATTTCTGCCCTAAAAGGAAGTGCAGAAATAAATTACTCTAATTGTACTTTTTCCTTCCTCTGACATTTCAAATAGTGCAAGTGTAATTAATTAGAATATATTAGACCTGTAACAGCACATTTCTATAATGCTGTATGACAAATTCCACCGTCCTCCTCTGCCCCACAGACTGTAAAGACAGCTGTGCATTACATAAAGATCCAAGGCCTGCGTTTAAGGGGAGCAAAATCAAGAAAGTAATGAATGTAACTCACGTTCTTATTTTAATGTAAACTAACTAACTCAACTATTCAAAAAATCAAACCAAACCCAGTGTTTGCCCTGGTTGTCACAGAAAAGTAAAGGAAAAATAGGGAATTATTTTCCCATACTTTTTACTGTGCTAATCAATTGGACAGCACTTGGATACCTATTCAACAGCTAAGACAGTTCTTAGCTGTGTATTATTCCTAATGGTTGGCATTGGAAAGAAAAATAGGTAAAATCTCTCAAATTGTGTTGTGAGCATTTCTCCAGTGTCACTTCAAGCAGACCAAAATTACTTCTAAAATCTAAGAAAATTTCATTAATTTTATATTTTAGAAGATGAGTACAGACATATATAAATAACTGTAGAATTTTAGATTTTCTTACAGTTTTGTTTCTTGCAGCACTCAAGTATCCTAAAATATCCACATATAAGAGCTAATACCCTTAAAATACATATTTTATACTTTTATTTTATTTGGATTTTAGCAGATTTAGGCATCCAGTGCAAATTTGTGATTACTTCCATTCTGATATGCAATATTTACTACATTACCCAATGATACAATTTCACAGCATTTTAGCAGTATTTTGTAGCTTTTTTACAACACTTTAAATTTGCCCAGAAGTATTACTCATGATATTGTTTCAGATATTCACCTACCATGACTTGGATTTCATGCTTTCCATACAAATTTTACTGGACATAACAAATACGTATGCAAAATGTACCCTTCTATGAACCTGATATAAAGCCAGAACATAAAGTGGACATAAAAATTATGATCTCAGTGTGTATGTAGCACTAGAAGTGAAGGTTTCTTACCGAAGGGAGTAGATAAAGATGTCTCCACAGTTCGTTGGCCATCACCAAAAGGAAGGTCAATGCGAGTGAAATCCCTACTTTTGTCATTGTTGTACTTCACCGTTAGGTTAGTCAGCTTGGAGAAATCAATACGCAGAGTGCAGCACCCACTGTAGATACTATGGCCATCCAGAGACTGAAGAAAAGTAATTACATTTTCAGAGATAAAACATATCACAGCAGTCACCACTATAAGTTTATATTATTATTGCAGCCTTTCAGTACTTGAAGGTAAGATCAGGACAGATCTTTTAGTAGGGCGGGTAGGTCATAGGACAAGGGGTAATGGTTTTATAGTAGGAAGGTTGATGTGGATTAGCTATATGGAAGAAGTTTATTATGAGTGTAATGAAACATTGGCACAGGGCACCCTGAGAGGAGGCTGATGCCCATTGGACAGGGCTCTGAGCAACCTAATCTAGTTGAAGTGACTCTGCTCACTCCAGGGGACTGGACTGCATGTCCTTTAAAGGTTGCTTCCAATCCTAACCATTCCACCATTATACAGTTTTCACCTTGCAATTGGATCCAAAGAGTAATTCACCTTCTGTGATTAAGCCCTCTTTTTAAATACAAAGTAGACAATTAGGCTGCCACTATCCTTACCTAAATATCCCATGTAGAGTTCTAGTGTGTCCACTAGTTAGTATTATATCACCTTGTGCCAATTGGACAAAACAACAGCTTTAAGTTTGACTTGACTTCCTTTGTTTCTAATCTTATTTCTCTCACACTCAACATACAATATCAGAGGGTAACAGGAATACTAATTTGGAAATTTTAACTGCAGGAGCTGACCCTTACATGAGGAAATCTAATGAAGCATCTGAAGCACAAGTCCTGCTGGTGGGAGCTGAGGTTGTCTGCTGTGAAGAAAAGGAGGCTCAGGAGAGATCTTACTGCTCTCTACAGTTGCCTGACAGGAAGCTGTAGCAACATAGGGGTCTCTTTCTTCTCCCATGAAACAAGTGAGATGACAAGAGGAAATGGGCTCCTGTTCTGCGAGGCGAGTTTAGACTGGATATTAAGAAACATTTCTTCATCAAAAGGTTATCAAGCATTGGAACAGCCAAGTGGTGAAGTCACCATCCCTGAAGGTATGTACAGATGTACAGATGTTGTGCTTCAAGTTTATAAGTGAACTTGGCAGCATTAGGTTTATCATTGGATTCAATAACCTTAAGGGTCTTTTCCAACATAAATCCCCAGACCTGGGCATGACTTCAAGTGAAACAACAGAACAGCAAGATCCTGTGCACAAGAACACCCAGAAATGGTGCATAATTGTGGTGGGTGATGCCCTGCTGCAGCAAACAGAGGTACCCATTTGCTGACCTGACCATTGGTCTAGAAAGGTCTCCAGTATGCCTCTCCGGAACTTGAATCACAAGTTCCATGCAAAGATTGCTAAGGCTTTTCTACACATCTTAATTACCTCCTGCTCCCTTTATACGAGAACTAAAGATGACTTGGATGAAGGTGCAGAGGCCTCCTCAGCAATTTCACTGACAACACAAAGCTGGGAGGAGTGGCTGATAGCCCAGAGGGCTGTGCAGCCCTTCAGCAGGACCTCAACAGGCTGGAGAGATGGGCAGAGAGGAACCTTCTGAAATTCAGCAAAGGCAAATGCAGAGCACAGACTGGGGCCTGGAAAGCAGCTCTACAGAGAAGGAGCTGGGAGTCCCGGTGGACCACAAGACGCCTGTGAGCCAGCAATCTGTTCTTGTGGCCAAGAAGGCCATGGCATCCTGGGATGCATTATAAAGAGCAGTGCCAGCAGGTCAAGAGAGACGACCCTGCCCCTCTACTCAGCACTGGTCAGGCCACATTTGGAGTCCTGTGTTCAGATGTGGGCCCCACAGCCTAAAAGAAACGTGGAGCTCTTGGAATGGGTCCAGTGTAGATCTACAAAGGTCATTAAGCAATTGAGGCATCTATTTCACAAGGAAAAGCAGAGGCAGGGACCTGGGCCTGTTCAGTCTCGAAAAGACTGAGAGGGAATATTATCAATGATTTTTATTTTGACAGACTCATGCAGGCCATTTATTTGCAGCTGATGAGAGAGTGCTGTCCTCTTAACTAAAGAGAGATGTCAAAATTATTAATGTGCAATAAGAGTGTTAGAATGATGAGGAATCACAAAGTTAGCAGTCAAAATATTCCAAATGGTTCCTTTGTCCCTAAGCTGGGAAAACCCACCATCAAACAAACAAAATCAAGCTGAATATACTATACTTACCATTTTGGCATAATATGCATTCGTTGCATCAGCATATTGGAGCAGAGCTTGAAATTGATTGTTCTTATGGAACATGACAATCTTCAAGACAAAGCCAAATTTAGAGAAAATCTGTTAGGGGAAAAAACATGGGCTTTAAGAAGCAGTGAATGATTCACGCATACTAAAAACTAGCATTTAATATTACAAATACATTTCTGAAAAACATTTCTGTTGTGAGTGCTGAACAAAAATTATGTGAATTCAGAATTTCATTTCAGGTAAAAAAAAAATTAAAGGCTACAAAAGATGGGAAAATAGGATAAAATTTCCTTAAAGAATTAACAATATCTAATCAACTAAGAAAAGGGAAGGAAGTCCAAAGAGGTATTTGTCCAGTGTCTGCAGATAAACTGTGGATAATAAATCAGGTTTGAGAAATGGACTTCACAAATCATAGAATTACAGAACATGCTGAAAGGGATCCACAGGGATTATCAACTGAGTCCAGCTCCCAGCTCTGCACAGGACACCCCAAGAGTCACACCATGTGCCTGAGAGCATTGTCCAAAGGCTTCTGGAACTCTGGAACACTTGGTGCTGTGATCACTTCTCTGGAGAGCCTGTTCCAAAGCCCAACACCCTCTGGGTGAAAAATCTTTTCTAATCCAACTTAAACATCCCCCAACTCAGCTTCACGCCATTTCCTCAAGTCCTGTCACTGGTCACAAGACTGAAGAGATCAGTACCTGCTGCTCTCACTTCCCCTCATGAGGAAGTTGTAACTGCAGTGAGGTCTCCCCTCAGTCTCCTCCAGGCTGAACAGACCAAGTGTCCTCAGCCATTCCCCATAAGGCTTCCTCTCCGGATCTTTTATGCTGCTGACTCACATTCAACTTGCCATTGACTAGGATGTGCAGGTCCCTTTCTGAAGTGCTGCTCTCCAGCCTTTTCTTCTCTAGCTTACACGTTCCCCTTCCCTGTTCCAATATAGTTTAAAGCCCTGTCAACAAACCCCACTAGCTCCTACACTAGAACTCTTTTTCCCCTCTGAGTGAAAAAGGTGCATCACATCAGGTGTCAGTCGAACAGGTATTGAAAAGATTATCCCATGGTCAAAACCCCCAAAATTTATTCAAGTACACCATGGAGCCACCTGTTGACCTGATGGATCTGTCTATTTCTATTAATATTATTCCTTGTTACTGAAAGTCAGTTGAGATAGGAACTGCAAACTGCATTTCAAGTTATCCACCTTTATGTTCTATACTAGACAAATTCTGCAAATCTGTTGAACAAAAATACAACTTAAATAGTTGATGTGCTTATTAAGACCCACTGCCTAAACTAGAAAACAAAGAGGAAAGAAGCAAGACAAAGACCCAGATTTGAACCTACGCCTATACCTTACAATCAAAATAATTTGATTTATTGCAAACGTAAGCATTGCAGAAATAGTTTTAAAATTTGAATTTAAATATATATACACATTCAAAATGAGAATGTGCATTACATGAAAGTGTCTATAAAAAAGCAAAGCCACAAAGATTGAGGACAAAATTAAAGCTAGGGCATATCACGCAAGTGCAGAAAAAAAAAGTCCAAAATAATAGTCAGAGGAAAGGGGAGTTTGAGAAATACTATTAGTTATCAAACAATGTGTTAGAATCAATGCAAAGTCAGGAAAGCAGAAACCCTCGAGAAATATTAAACTTGCAATGGAAAGAAAGGCCATAGATAAGTATAAGCATCTCTTGCCAGCCTCTTAGGCCTAGAATCAACAATATAAAACTCATGTCCCAACACTTTGCAACCAGTTTTTCCATCCCTCAGAAAACAGATTTTAATGCTGCAATCATAATTTAGTTATAAAAAACAAACAGAAACCCTTCCACAGCAATTTAAAGTTAGTCTTCTAGTTCCTATTCATAAAGCACTTTCTCTTAAGAAATGCTTAAATACAGCTTCTCAATATAGGTTTTTCCATGTTCACCAGAAAACTTAATAGACCTTTTTAACATAATGAAATTTAAGGTACTCCTTCCTGTTTGATTTTAAACCAAAACGCACTGTATATATCAATTTTGTTTCTGCAAATATAACACTGAATTTTCAGCTTATTATAAATATTTTAATGGGAACTGTAGTTTAAAAAAGTTAATTTATTGACAAGCAAGACAACTTACAAAATACAATCCCAGTATGGGATGACAGCTTACCTACTAGTGTTCCATAAGACGCTATACTTGCCAGTGAAAATACTCATTTTCCATTAACCTTACTACACAAAATAAAAGCTAGATTGTAGCTATTGGGCACAAAGTGCTGCTTTAATTAGAGGAGACTGTCCCCTATTAAGAACTCCAAATAAGATCCCTTTTCAAATACTGCTAAATTTTCCAGACATATTGGAAAAGTAGCTGAGTGAGAGCAATTCAAATACTGAAAATATAATTGTGCTGCATTGAAGTAGACTAAAATCAAATGAAACAAATAAATTAATATAAATTTCCTCTTTGCTGTTGCATTCTTAGAACTAGTACAGCTCCCATAACCACAGGAGCTTGTTCTGAGGTTATTCTGAATGCAATAATAATCCTAAGCAGCTGACATACTATTTCCACAGGTTCAGTAATGAATGAACAACACTCAAAGACACATACCAAGGTTTAGATCAGGCAAATTGCTACATCCAAGTGACAACTAATATGTACACTTAAGTTAATCAGTATCATAGTGAGGAGATACAGAAAAACATAAAATTTTAAGAAGTAAGAGGAAAAACAGTGTGTTGCTAAAAACAACTATCGTTTGAGATCTTAGCAGAGAAGGAAAAGACTCTTCCAGGACTGCAGGTTCCTACAAAATTATGACAGTTATTCTAGACTGTATTATTTAAGAAACTCAAATGTGGGGAATGGTTTTTACTGCAAAAATTACTACTAATTACAAAAGCTTCAAGTATGAAAAGCTTTGCAATATTTGTAAAATATCAACAAATTCTTTGGACACAAAGAAGTAGTCTCAAAGTTATTATTTTTAAACTTAGAGCATTCAACAGCACAGCCCAAACACCTAGCAGATTACAGTAATGTCTTTCATAACTATAGCCTACCATTATGCTAAGCTTTCAGAGGTAGTCAAATGCCATTCCAAAGATGAACAACCAAAAACATTTGTCCAAGAAATTTGCATATTACGTTACTTGCACTGGGGTATAAAACTGAATATAAAACCCTAAATATAAAGCAGACTACAAAGCTACTCATCAGAAAGAGTGCTAAAATACGGACTCACAAGTTCATAACATTCAATATTTCACTAGCTGATCATGAAAGCAGAATTAACACTTCAAGTTTGTTGCTGCTTCCACAGCAAGGAACTAAATGAGACAACATGAAAATCTGAGTACTGAAACCCTGTTTACTTGAATTTCATTTACATAGAACTATTTCAAACCTAGATCCCTGAATACAGGAAATTACTTTAAAGAGACAGTCCTCACTCAGAAGATTCAGGAACCACAGGTATTTTTAAATATACATTAATGGATTTACAGTAGCAACATTGGAACAGATTATGACTATTTTTAAGCAATCCTCATTACCTGATACAGTATGTCTAAAGTGACAGGGTAAAAAACATTTTCAACAACGATTCGAAGAACAGAACCGTGACTTGGAAGGACCCCACCTTCAGCAGCAAGAGCATTTGTAATACCCAGGTTTCCATGCTGCACAGCATTCACACCTTGCAATGCAGCCTGAGGTCTCTGAAATTAAGTCATAGCAGAGAATGCAGTTATTTTATATACAAATTATTCATACGGAAACAAAGTTCTCCTAAATGAAACGGACAAAAAACATAACTTCAAAAAGCCGTATTTCCTTTATATTATTGATTCAAACCCCACATTAATAAATAAATCATAACTCTCATTTTCCATGCCTCTCCCTTACAACTAGTCAGTGCAATTCACAGAATTACAACTATCTTTTTTGTTAAACTGCTTCTACTTACAGACATGATTTTTCTTTGATCCAGTAAGCTATTTTTCCAGCAAAATTATTGATGACAATATTGATGACAAAATTGTAATATTGTGAGAGACTAACAACCACTCAGCACCATAAAATATTTGCTCTGCTTGACTAGGATTTCATTCTCTTCAGGAACCAAGATTCGGTGTGATAAGCTTAAAAGTGCACACCCTACTCTTCTTTCAGAGCAAAGCCATCAACTCCAAAAAATAGGTTCAAACCTCACTCCTCAAATGAGACTTCTGTGATTACACAAGTCTGTTCACTTATTTTTCATGGGCTTTCCCAAAAAGGTCTTCATACCTCCTGTGAGTAGCAGGACTATGGAGAGATGCTCCTTTCCACATGCAGTATTGTGATATAAAGTCATCTCTCAGTTACACTATTTCTTTGGAAAATGAAAGGGCACATGGCACTATTACCTAGTTTCAGAAAAATACAACCCTGCAAAATAATCTGTACTTCAGGGCTCAGCCTAGGGACTAGCACAGTATCAGTATTCAGCTGCTCAACTAGAGTCTCTTTAAAACTTAGACAAAACTCAAATATAAGTGCCAAACAGCCTATTTTTAAAAGTAGACAATGCTGTTATAAAGAAAGCAAGTGCCACATACCCAGTTGAAAATACTCAGAGACCCAAGAAGTCTTATTTGCAAATATACATATACTTTTCCTGAGGCTGTTATGCAAACCACATCCTTAGATCAAAAATCTGTTTATTTATTTGGTTTTGCAGATAACAAAGTGATCCAGCAATTTTAGATGAGGAAAGAGACAAATAACATTTACCATACCAACAAGCTTGCAAGACTAGTGACTTTCTGTGAGCACAAATGAATGATTTATGCCCAAATCACTACTGTCAACATTCTTACAGAGAAAAAAAAATACCATGATATACACATCACAGTATATAACTTATGTATCTAAATGGGATCAATTGAATTCATCCAGGAATCCAAAATCCAGTATAAACCCCTAGGGTACTCTGCTAGTGACTGGACCCCAGCTTTTTGCCGCTGGTCACAACCATTTTAGTCTTTCAAATCACTTCACAGTTCACTTAACTAGACTGCATTAATCAGTTAATCTATTGGGACGTTACTGGAAACAACACTGAAAGTCTTGCCGAAGTCAAGATAAACAATATCCTCTTGTCTCGTCCAGTCATTTAAAAATAAAAGGCCATCACGTTGGTCAGGCATGACGTCCTTTTAAAAACCTATGCTTGACTATGACTAACCATTTTCTTCTTCTTAGAATGTTTGGAGATAGTTTCCAGAATGAGTTGCTCCATTCCTTACCCAGGGACCAAAGTAAGGCTGATCAAGCAGTGGTTGCCTAGATCTTTCTTTTGATCTTCCTTGTTGTCCTTCCTTGAGATAGGAGAAGGAAAGAGTTTGTTTTATCTAGTCCTCAGTAACTTTTTACGACTGCCCTAGCATTTTCAAGATCATCAAGTGGCATTGTAATGCCATCAATCTGCTCCTTCAGCATTTAAAAGTCTATCTCACTAGGGCCATAGACTTCTTGTTTATCCCATTAGTTTAAACGTTCTCTAACGTGATTCTTCTCTACTTCATCAAGACTTTTCACTGTTCTCATGTGCTTGATAATACCAAGGGCAAGTCTTAGCCACTAAAGGCTGCTGAGAAGGCTCTCAGTAAATCAGCTTTTTCCATCTTCTTTGTCCCTGCCACATTCAGCAGCAGGCCTATGTATTTTTTTCAAAAAAGAGATCTCATTTCTATTGCTGATATACTTCAAGAAACCAAACTTCCTGCTTTTCACATCTCTCATCAGAGACAACTCCACGTGGCCTTTGACTTTCCTAGCCATATCCTTGCATGTTCAGAAAATGCCCTATGATCCTCCTGGGGCACCTGTTCATGATCCCAACTTTTCTATGCCCAGTCAGGAGCTCCTTGTTCATACAAGCAGCCCTCCTGCCATCTTCACTTGATTTCATGGTCATCATGATGAACTACTTTTGAACTCAAGCTCCTCCACAATAATTTTACAGATATTGAGAAGTCCCTGTCTGTAAGAAGTTACTGAAATTGTATATATATTAGAATTTATCTATCGATACAGTGAAGAGTAGCCTGTTTATTTACTAGTTGTGGTTTAACCCTGGTATGCAGCAAAGTGCTCACTTTACCTTAGCACAATAGGAGAGGGAATAGGAAGAGTGGAAGTGAGAAAACTTAGTTTTCAGTTACATGTGTTCAGTTACAGACAGCTGAACAGGCAAAGCAATAGCTGCGTGTGCAAGTAAGGCAAAACATGGTGTTTCAACATCTCCCCCATTGGCAGGAAGATGTTTAACTATTTCCAAGAAAGTAGGAACTTCATTGTTAACAATTAATTGATAACAATTACTTCGAAAGAAAAAGGCCACAACTCTGACCATCCCTCCTTCATCATCCTTTCCCTAGCTTTCAATGTTGAGCCCAACATCATATGGTGTGGGACATCCCTTGGGTCAGTTGCGATCAACTGTCCTAGTTGAGACCCTTTCCATCCTCTTGTGCATTCTCACTGGCAGGGCAATGTGAGAAGCAAAAAAGACCTTAATACTTTCTGTATTAACAAATGCATTCACAACTCATGCAATTATAGCCTGTTAAATGGAAATATTGTACTTACAGCTTGATTATGCTGATTGTCAGTCCTAAGTTCTTTGTAATTGGAATACTGAATATAAACTGGCTGATTGTGGAGGTGAGGTGGAGCAGGAGTGTAGTAGTTCACCATAGAAACAGCAGCATCTACAGAAGCCATTTCCAAAAATGCCTGCAACCAATAGATAGCTGATTTCAATGCTGTTTTTATTCACAAGAGATAAAAAAGCATCATTTTTTCCCAATTCCACTCCCACTAGAAAAAGATTATGTAAAAATACAATACTGATTTGCTCAACATTAGAATGCATTTGTGTGTGCATGTTTATGGGGCTGTTTTATTCAATTTCTGTTTTCTTTAAAAGTTTTCCATTGTAAGTACACTATGGCATTTAAGAAGAGGCGGAGTAAGTATGATATATGGGAAGCAATGCTGCTGTAAGTACCACACTGCTAAGCAATTTGTTAAATTCCTGAAACCAAGCACTATTATCTAGATAGCTGATATGGATACTGATCAAAAAAGCTGGAACAGAACATTAAACATCCATCAGTTTATGCATTTTATTCATCCAGCTCAGTGCTCCAGGCAATTTTTTGAATGAATGCTTATTATTTTAAGATCTTCTGTGTTTCTGCATGATGCAAACTACTCTGTCACATCTAATAGGATTAAACAGATGTCAAAAAATTAATATGCATGTTAGTAACTTAAGCAGGCAGGCTCCATGAAGACATGTCATCAATAGTGACAATGTAGTTCTTTATCATCTCATATAAAGTATATACAATGTTCAGCAATACTATTAACAAATTTCTAGTTCATTATTTAATCCAAAAGCATATTAAAAACTTAAAATAAGTTTCAAAACATACTTTCACATTTAAAAATATTAAAATCTTCTGCTATCAATGAAATATTTAGACACTGTTGCAATCATTTCACTCAAGCACAAAATTAAAATTATCATAACGTGAACCACATCTTCAGTCTTGCTCTTTATTAAAACATTGAAAATTACATACCTGACCTTTTCCCCTTAGCATCAAGAGATTGGTTACTTTGCCAAAAGGGAGACCTAATGAAACAACTTCTGCTCCAGTAACACCATTTGGAATTTGACGAATATGAAGGACACGTGAAGGGGAACATGGCAATCTGCTCCCTTTACTTTTTTTCTTCTCATTATCTAAAATATTTTAGAGAGGGATACAGAGAGGTAAACAAGATACCCATTGCACAGTGTACATAGCAAAACCTATAGGAGAGAAACTACTGCCTCAGCACTGACATTGACTTAGGTATAGTTCTTTGAGCCTTAAAAAAGGATATTTCATATCTAACAACAGGACAGTGTAAGAAGACATCATCAGCTATTCTATATCTTGATAGCAAGATAAGGGTGGAGTATGTCTGGCTTTGCTTTGGACTTGTTTATTTTCTGGAGATTTGGTTGTGGTTTGCTGTTGTTTTGGTTTTTTTAATGGGAGGCCAGTAACTTCTCCCCAAATGCCTACATAAAATACTTACAAAATGTTAGTTGCACAGAAGAGGGGAAAGTTGTAATTGGGAGGTAATACATTAATTTTTCTTTTATCATCAACTTATGTTTTTTTGATCAAGTTACTAACTTAAGGTTTGGGGTTTGTTTTTACTTTAATAAAGAAAGCCTGCTGTTCCAAATGATATTAAGTTTTATAAAGTGTTCAAAAAAGATAGACAGCATGAAATCCATACAAACTCTTAAGTCTACCACTTTGACACACTGCCAGAAGTGGAGGGTTTTTTTAACATATACCTATTTGGATCCTTTAAGTGACTGATTTGGATTGGTAAGTGACCAGTGATTACATTTCAAGAACATTTCTTAGTATCCTTGAGAGCAGTTTCAAGCAGAACACCACATCTGGAACGGGCATATTGCTCTAGAAGCAGTTGCAATGGAGGCATGAGAGCCTTAATACCTAATCTGCTGCATTTAGCCTTACAAGGAGATACAGAAAAGATTGGGAAGAAATTTCTGTATGAGCTTTAAGAGAAATTTCAGATTTTGCTGTAGGTTTTGCAGTCTAAGGCTAAGAGAACTGGTTTACGCAAGTCATTCTGCATAGGGACATTTACAGAGGGTCTTTTCATTAGTGGAAGCCTGTAAAATTTCAAACTGGACGATCAAAGCCCCAGCGATACCACACTTAACAATTCTTCCAGCTGCAAAACTGAAAGTCTGTTATGCATTGATTTTTCCATCAAGAAATTTCATGTGCTCTGTATGCATTCTGAAAAATGTGAACTTTAAGACAAACATGACCATACTAAACACATATTGAAACCAAGCCATGAGAGGACATATTACTAGTAAACTCTAACAACTAATTTTGTTACTTTTCAGGTTCAAAATGGACAAGATGTCCCTGACTAAGTCAAGGAATGCTTGACTAAAGAAAGCAGGAAATGAAGCCTAGTATGAATTTTGCCTTTAGTTTAATATGAGATACTCATGCAGAAGCAGTATCATCTGGGTTCTGACACATTGTCAGAGGTGACAAAATGGAACAAAGTGGCAAACTATTGCAGCTCTTCTTCTCATGTGAAAAGAAAATGACAAATTAGCTAAGTTACTCAATCAGCAATCAACACTAGCACATCTCAAATATAAAATTTCCTGGTTTTTTTAAACCATGCTTCTATCTCCAGCTGTGGTTTGATACTAATTTTGATGCAGAGTGATAATCATCTGTATCTTCCAGCACCTAAATTTCAAAATTGATTCAACAATTCTTTAAAGCATGCCAAAGGTGATCATCTTTCTGAATTGTACACTAAGTTGAGTAAAAAACACTGTCAGGCAGACCAAAAGAAGCTTCATGAACAAAGAGAAAATTGGCTCCTGATGTACAAAGGGAAGTTCATTACAGTTGCAATTCGTGACTGGTACAAATGTATTCCCTGAGTAGCCTGAGGTAAAGAGGTACACATCTTAGATATGTGATCCACCAGACCAACACAACCCTAAACTCCAAACCTAACAACAAAAAACAAGTGCTGCAGCTGAAATGCTGTATTAGGTAAAAAGATGTATTTCAATAGCGATTATATTTAATTTTAGATTTATATGATTATTAATTGAGGATGCCTACTAATATATCCCAAAACCCCCTATATCATTTAGACATCTTGGATACCACTGTGAAGGATCAGTCATTGCACTGTTAATAACATATATTTCAGTTATTATATTGCTGAGCTACAAGTTAATGCTATTTCAAGCCAAGCAGAAATATTTGGACATCACATTGAATTGATCAGCAGAAGTATAAACAACCTGCTGTGTGCATGTCAAAGAAATCAAAAAGAAAAATCTTCAAGTTAGCTCCTCAGACTCCTCCTTCTTCTCTACTGAAAATATAGCAGGTCTTAGACACTTACCAAAATGTGATCTGCTCTGTCCTTTGCCCTGACATAAAATAAACTATTTGGAAACCACTGCTGACAGGCAATTGTGTGTGTCATGATTTAGTTAATTTATTTGACATAAAGTTAATTTATGCAACCATTGGTCATTAACACTCCATGTACACCTAATGCTGGAAGTAATATTAACAAAAGCTGGTACCAGCTTTCTCTCATTTTCAACTTCTTGTCTGATCTAAAGCTACAAGTGAACATATACACTTACTGCATCTTCCTCAAAACACACACGCACAAAGCAACAAAGAAAGGGAAAAAACAACACAGAGAAAGAAAAGTTGAAGAACTTTGATTTTTTTTTTATGTATACCTGTAGCTGGAGTAGAATTGCTCATGATAAAAGGTCTGTTACCGACACCAGGAGAAGCTTGTCAGGACCACACTAAGAAATAAAAGACAAGATTACTAGTAAAAGCAATTACAGAAAAACCTCAATATAAAAGTGCAATAATTCCCTTTACTTATTCTTCCCAAGAACACTGCCTTCCTATACACATTACCCACAACTGCCAGAAACTTATTTTTCAGGAAAAATAATGCCAACAACATACCTTTTTATCATGTCTCAAGAATTCATCAGCAAATTCATCTGTTTTACACTTCATATTTAAATCTATCCCACTACAGTTCCCTTTTTAAAAGACCAAGAATAATACATGCTTAAGAAAAGAAACATTTTTTAAAAACACGTATGACTTACCATCAATTTCTTAGGACAACGATAGAAGTATTTGCTTTAAGAGTATTAACAATTTGAGGCTCTAACTACTGACAGAGAAGAGTTTGAGTACTACAGGTCCTTCATTCAAAAATCAGCACCTAGCTCCAGTTATGCCCATTTACTCATTAAGACTGCTGTAATATGCCAGCCAAGCATCATCTTCAAAACACAGACAAGAAACAAGGTACCACAACACCTCTAAAAGACAGTTAGGTTTCCTCAAACTTTCACCACACTCTTCCATAAAAGTATTTTAATGAAAAATAGAAACCAAGAGAGTGATTCTACAAGGTGGGATAAGTTGATCCAAATAGCTTCTCATCACTTTGGTGAAAGAGAACTCCTCATTGCCCTTGGTCCAGTATTCCCACATGCGCATGAAATGTTTATCTTGCATGAAGTCTAGTGCCAAAAAGTTTTCCTATGGGATTAATCAATTCTCCAGCTTGCCAGAATTCTAAGATGAGTTAGATTAGTTATTCAGCTGAAAGAGGGGTTGAGAAGTGGCAGGATCCCCGGCAAAAAAATGGGTAAGGATAAGCCACCATGCTGGCTTGCACCACTCAGAGTATTGGCTTATGTGGAGCTTAAAGGAGCAATTAGGTTCTCTTCATCCTTGTTAATCATGTGTTCCTGCTGCTTCCCTGGGGGGGAAAGTCATTCACAACAGAAGACTGTGACTGTGCTTATAAACCCTTTCAGCCAAATTTAGCTGCTCATGAAGGAGCACAGGTGTTAGTGTGGGATGGAAGAAAACATGAGTGTGTCCTCTCCAGCAACAGTAGGGACTTATCTTTAACCATAAAACTGCATCTTAACAGTATATTTAAATACAACGTCTAATTGTGGCAAACAGCAAAATAATTTTTAAACTAAAAGAACTGAAAACTATAAAGCCTGTATTTTAAAGAACTATCAATTAAATGGTTACTAGATGTCATGCATATCACACTGTACTAGGATGTAATTAACATGCAATACTGATATTAATTTTCACCTATTAGCAGATCTTTGAATATACCAGCACTCAAGTATTGCACCTAAAGAGCATATTTTGATTCTAAAATGCATATCATGCTAATTAAACAAAAGCTGTATGTACAGATGTAGTAGAAAATACTAATGATGGCACCTTAGGACAACAAACCTCCCTTTTATCTACTGGAAGACAGGAAGAAAAACCACCACTGATGCAATTCCTGTTGTGGAGACTTTAATTTAGTTTTTAACTTACCATTTATTCAACAGAAGAAATCTCTGCATATTTCTAGAAAGCTGTGAAAAAGCATGGCATATTACCATGTCCAACACGTATTGTTACAATGTCATATTTAATTTTATATACATCGGTATTTTTAAAAAACCCACCTCAGACATTTTCAGAAGAAAATTTTCCAACCTCTTCCATTTTGAGCACCCATACAAAGAAACACAATTCAGATGGCTGCAGTGACCTGTGTTACAACTCTGTGTAACTGGCCTGTATCATAAAACTGAAGCTGTAGATCACTGCAGCACACAATGAGCTGCTAGTCCAGAATGACGGACTAAACCAGCTTCAACAGAAAAAATACACCAAAATTAAAACCTTCATTCATGACATGTGTCTGTACTTAAAACTGACACATCATTCAGTCACTATATCCTATGATAGTTCCCTAGATTTTGCTATTACACTGACAACCATTAACCCACTACAGCAGTCAAAACACAAATGAAGTCTTTAAATCCCAAGCTCATCACCTATGCAATTGTTTTACTTGGTTTGATAAAATCTTTGTGCTTCTTACAATACTGAGAACCATCACAATTTCAAATGTGTAACTGTCTTCGTATCTTCAACCTGATAAATTAAAACTTATCTCAGTCACTGACAAAGCAAAAATATTTTAGGAGACTGCAAATATAAACCGACACCATGGGAGTTGTGCAAGTTGAAGTACAGAATGTGTATGTTTGAGATATTCTGGATTGATGAAAAAGACAGAGAACACACAAAGAAATTACAAAATTTAAGTCTGTAAAGACCATTTGTTCAATCTCTTTTTTTCCCATCTAGAGGTGAAAGAGATATTTTTTAAATGCTTTCTAACATGAAGCATTTAATGTGGTGACAAAGATCTCCTACAGGCTGCTCTGGTAAACGGGTTTGCAAGGCCTTTAGAGCTAAAAAAGTCCACACAAGAGGGTAGTGTGCCATAGACAATGTCTTACAGGATTCTAATTGACTCTTTCTACAGAGGCTAGAGACTCCTGCCATGCCCCTAATCTCTCCCTGTATACAAGTTTTTCACTGGTTACTTCTTAGTTATCCACGATTTAAATCCAGCTGTAAAACAGTCAAAAGAGCAGCTAAATCCTGCTTTTAAAGCTACCTTGACATCCTTCCTTGTCCACAGTTCAGAGACAGTTGACAAGCACTTCTTTAAGCAGAGACAGGAGCTCACACTGCCCTTGTGCCATCACATCCATTTCAGTCTTCACAGCACAATTGTGTGGGGTAAGACAGCTGCTTAACCTCAGCAAGCTGCTTGCACCAGTTCTCTGTGAGGCCACACAGTGAAAGTGAACAGGCAGGCAGGTCAAGTAACCATGCTGCCTAACCCTTCCCTGATAAACACTTCTTCCAGCACAAAGCCTCCCTCACAGAAAGCAGCGCCTGCCTTCTGACTGCCAGGACTGCACCAACTACATGGTGAACACTCCTTCTTCAGGCTCTGGTAAATGAGGCAAACGGAATTGTTCAAAACAAGGACAGCTACCAAACCAAGGTTGCAACATCCTCCTCTATTCCTGCACACCTTGCATCCATCCACATGAATCATCTCCTAACATCTTAACATTCCTTTTTTTACACCGTAAGACTTTCCATCTCTCCTACTTCACGGCAGCATTTTTGCATTTTTTGGGAATTATTACTTGGTGATGGGTAAGGCAAGAGCAACAGAACAGCTACAGCTAGATTAAGTTCATTCTTTCCTTGTATTATTGAGAAGGAACTAGAAACCAGTTGATTAGAAAGCTTAGTTTGATTTTGGACATTCCTTTAAAAACAGCTAACATCTATAGTACACAATAAAATTCAATTTCCCTGACTAAATAAGGCATATTACACAACTGACTACAGCAACAGGTGCCTGTCTTGAAACCACTTCAGCTGTTTGACGATTTAAAAAATTCTAATAGTCATTTATGCTAATGATTCTGCAATTCCAGGATAAAACCCACAGCATTCACAGAAAAGCATAAAACAAACATCTGAAAGTCAGCAACTCTAGGTTTCTAAAATCTTTGTGAATGACATATGTTGGAAACAGAAGGGTAAGTCTAGTACTACAAAATTCTTCTTTAGAACATGTCCATGTGTTAAAACTATGGCAGGCATCTATTTAGCATTACTTCTCAGATCACTGAATCCTATAAACAATCTTTTAATTTTTAAAAACGCTTATAACCCTCCCCTCAGCTTTCAACTCCAATATTGTCTTCCTCTCTTTTATTTTCTAGAAGTCAGAAATTCTTCAGTACAGTTCAATTAACTAGAAATACGATAGTTCCAGAGAAACTTATATTTGTATTGATGGTTTTCCTAGAATTTAGCTAGTCATCTTTCTATGCTATTATTTTTAAGTCAGCAATAAGAAAGAATATGATCATAGGTTTCATTATGAAAAAAAGATCTTGGGCAATTTTAAGGGAAAATAATTATTTCAAAAATAATGCATGTGATTTAAAATTGTACATTTTTCTACAAGATTCTGTATGACAAAACAAATTAATTACTCGAAATTTGCCCCAAAAGGGCAAATTTCAAAACACAGTAATTTCAAGCTATACTAGTAATAAATGTAGTTATATTTAAACTAACTGTTATACTCCATACTTTATTATTTTTATAGAATCTGACTATAAAAGCAAAAGCTAAGGGCCATGAGAAGAGTGAAAATTTCCACTATCTTCTCCTTCTGCAGCATGTCTCTAGATAATTGCTAAATTCATTTACTCTTTCTTCCTCTTTCATGTTTGCAAAGGATATGCAGCTCCTACTTCCAAAACGGGTATTTAATGTGAAGTACAATGCTGTTGGTGCCAAAATAAAAAGATTTCAAAGAAAGTAGAAACAAACTACAGGAAATTTTAAAACCATATATTTGTATTAAAAATAAACTGACTTTACATAGATAAAGCCTACCATTTCAGTAAGCTGAAGAAGAAAGAAATTATAGGCAGTAACCACAAATAGGCAAGCCTCCTTTTCTCCACTAAGAAGAGCCCTGCCAAGCACAGGCTCAGGCTGCTGGCTGCCCGTCACCCCAGAAGCTCTCACTTGCACTGGTAGCTGCTCTTCTGCAGGCTTGAACACTCACTGGCTCTGCCAGAAACACAGTGCTCCACTGCTTCTGCTGTCAGCTACTGAGGCTCCCTCCTGTACTGCACACTTCCAAAGAATTATGGAACAGTAATTAAAATGTTAAGAGAAAAATATTTTGTACTTTGCATTTATGCTAAACACAGGGCGGGAACATAAGGAAATAACATTTTCCTCTTTAAGATGCAAAACATGCAAAAGCAACCTTGAGAATGTGATTATCAAGAGCTGTTAAGAGTGACAAACTTTGTTTTTAAATGAATATAAAATATGCATTTTGATTTTTAAAGTC